GAATTCTGAGTTCCTTTTTTCTTTTTTTTTTGCATATTGGTTTCTCTTTAGAATTTAGATCCATCATGGGGAATAATGAGTAGATCCTTTTCCACAGCTTTCTCCCAATTACAGTGGCATCATTGATCCACTGATTAAAGATCAAAAGCTTACACTTGAATTCACTAAATTCAATTTTCCCTCTCTCTCTACTCAAATTTTATACGGACTTGTCCAAGACATGGACATCAAAAGACGTCGAAAAGAAGAGGAATAGAGCGAAAAAAGAAGGGATGAAGGTGATTACCTCTTTAATTCCATCTTATAGAACGTAAATTTTTTGGTCATCTTCTGTGAAAATTTCTTAGAGCAAAGAACGCAGGTGAAATATGAGTAATCTACTTAACTTTTATAAAATATACCTGAGATTATTTTTATTTGCTAAAAAAATTTTAATGAATTTACTTATTTAATAAATACAATGAGAATATACCAATAAACATACACACTGCATCAAAAACTTCTAGCTGAAGTTTTGTTCTAATGTAAAAGAGTAGGTAAAAGCTTTGGTCTTTTTGGACATTTTGTTTTCTTTGCCATTATGAACCATGTTTTAAGTACTAACCAATGTTAAAATATTGATAGGTTGGAGAGATAAAAGGATCAAAAGAAAAAAAGTGAGTTTTTTTTTAAATGAAGATACTAGTAAATACTTTTCATAAAATATTATATTTTGTACAATGAATATTCCATAATTCATCGAGGGGACTAATTAATAAGTTCAATTAATTAACAACATATATTAATTAATTCTTGGGCTGCTACTTGGGTTTATATTAATTAATTATTTCTACTTGACGATTTAATAATTACGCACAACTCCTAAAGTTGTGATCAAATTAAAGGGAATTGAAATTAAATACTTCCCATTTCTAATACTAATTTCCCATGAAAAAACCTTCTGTGGTATTGCAGTTTCCAAATTGACAATGAGTCCTAAAAATTTGGCGCAAGACGACGACGCATTGAATTCAATTTGACTGCCACTGCCATGCATGTCCTTCTCAAAACATTTGGTACATTACTGACTTCTATGTAATTTTATTTTCATTTTCATACTCAATATTCCAAAACAACAATCCCTTTTTTCTCTTTTTTTTTTCTTTAGCCCAACAACCATATACTACAAAAATTCAATAAACACAGTCATAAGATCAGAAATTTGAAAAAGTTCGAGGGTCGTTGTAACATTCACTAAAAACAACCTTATTTCGTATCTATTAATTTATCTTTTAACTCATCGACCTAGCTTTTAGATTGATTTGTTATTTAACATGGTATTAAAGAAGTCCACAAGGGATGTTGACCATGGCCCGCTTGATAACAATTTCGTTTTTTATTTTCTAATTTTAAAAATTAAGTTTAGAAACACTACTTCCGAGTGTTTCTTTGTTTTGTTATCTATTTTGAAAAATATCTAAATTTTGAAAACTAAAAAATTTATTTAAATTTGGTTAAGATAATCCAAATGTATGGTTAAGGAATATAAAAAAAAAACATACTAAATAAATGTTAGAAATCAAGGATAATCTCAAAAAAAAAAAATGAAATAGTTGTTAAATAGAGTCTGAAATGTCTATAAATTTATTGTTAACTTATCAAAGTGTATTATATATATATATATATATAATACTTAAGATTTTGTAATTTTTATGGGTTTGTCCCCTTTTTTATTTTTAGAATTGAAAGATTATATATATAAATGTTTTACCCTCCCTAAGTGTATATACATAACTTTCAACTTTATACTTTGCATCTACTACGGTGATCTTGTTCCTCTATGATTTGGAAATTATTAACTAATTAATTTTATCTTCATAGTTTAATTAATTTATTAATCCCTTTATTAATCCCCATTAACACTGCCAATGTTAAAAATTGTTCTCAAAGCAGCCTACCATATCTGACCAATCATAACAACATGGCATTTCTTTTTTTGTTAGTTTAATACCACTCAGTATTAATGGTGGGAGATATACATCAATAAAATTAACATGTACAAAAACGAAATTACAATCTTTAATACCGATACGATCATAATTCAACTAATCAAAAAATTATTACCTATCTAAAGATTGATGGTTTGAAATCTTCTCAACCCTAAGTAAAACTAAAAAAAAAAAGAAAAGAAAAAAAAGAGCAACGTGTAGATTTAAAAAATATTATATCTTTTTCTGGGAAGTCTCTCACATGATACGTTAGTATAATATATAGTGCATATGTAACACGTTTATTTTATATAGCAACGAGTCATTTTGAAATATATGAAGTAGCTAGTAGATTTTAAATTTCATTGATGTTCATGAACATGTCTATTTCAGTTAAATTAATTCATAAAATATTTTCAACTCAATATATATGTATCACGTCATCATTATATGTCCATAATTTTTTTGTATTGTGGTAAAAATGTATATATGTTGAGAAATAAAACGATTAGTCCTGCAACGAGAATTATCCGTCGAGGATCTAACTAGTTTTTTCTTTTACAGACGAAGTAAATCATAGTTTAATCAATAATAAAAGAAATACGAGATAGAGATAGAAAAGCAAATATCAAAAAATATACCTGTTTGCTTCAAGCTTAGGACATGTCTAGTCTTCTACAAATACAAGTTCTATTACGATGAGAAGATTAAAATATGTCTGACTTTTACGCTCTACAACACTTTAGATATTACAACAATGACTACCTATCTTTTAAGCACTACGATAATAACTACTCGAGAATACAATATAAAAAATTTCACAAGAATCACGAGAACGATGCTCTACAAACTTACATAACTCGTTTCGTCTCTTCCTCCCTGCACTGTTGTCCGACTTCCCTTATTTTTTGGCCTTCGATGTGCACCAAACCTAAATGAAAAATAATGCTTTTATAAGGTAGATTTGGTGATACATGCATATAAAAGTATATACAAAGATGGGAGGGAGGAACATTAATTTTTGTGAACCTGTTTGGTAAAACATGGACATTTTTATTTTGATATATATAAAAAGAATGGGTTTTTTCTTTTTTGTGTGTGGTTTGTCATTTTCTTGTTTTATTCTTTCAATGATTTGGTTTTTGAAAACTATAGCATTGGCTAGACAAAAAGTCTCACAATATTATGCTCCACCCAGCTCATCCACACCTCCAAATTAATCATAATTTCTTTTATTTTTCCTTTTTTCTTTGAAGGAGACTATAATATTAATATTTATAACAGCAAATAATTGTAACATATATTTAAGAGAAAAAGTAAATTCCAACCATAGTTTAAATAGATGAGGCATCTATTAACCAACTCAAGGTCAATTGGTTGGATTTCCACCGCGTAATTAATAAGATTTTAGAAGAAAGATGTTATGCATTTCGTATTTCATAATTTAAATTCTATCACTGGACTTGAGAGGTGAATTTTAATACTTGTAACCAACCTGAGTTTAGCTTTAAGGCATTTTAACTCCTTCACTAAAGGTCGAGATTCGATCTCTCATCTCAACATTTGCTGTACTTCAAAAAATAATTTTAATTCTTATCTTTTGGATAATTAATTATCCTTTTTTTTATTTTAAATTTATTTATTTTGAAATCCTTAATTATATAGATAAAATACATTTTCGGTCTGAGAATATATTTTCATTAATTTGATCCCTAAATTTAAAAAACTAACAATTTGATCCGTAACCGCTTAGAAAATAATTCTAAAAATTCTTATCATTCAACTAGTTCATTTTGGCGAGAGAGAGAAAAAATGTCAAAGTTAAAAATAATATAAAATTAATAAATATTATCTTATTATCAGAAAATTATCAACACTCCAAAGATTTTTTAAAACTATTTTTTCTAAAGAGGGTCATCAATGTTGGTTTTTTAAGCTTAGAAATAGAATAGAAATTTATGCTTAAAAGATAAAAATGTATTTTACTCGAAAGTAGAATATTTATTATAAAAAAGTATGAAATAATATATCTTTCTTATTTGACTAAAGTCAACTCACCGCACATATTAATTTACTTTGGTCAAACGTTCTTTTGAAGATAAATTTTTCTTTTGTTTAGCAAAATCTTACTTTTATAATAACTTTCAAAACACACCCATATTTTCTTATTAAATTTCAGATTTTATAATACTTTTGCAAAGAACTCACAATCTTGGTGGCATCACCTTATTAATGTTATTGTAATGACAGCCTAAATATTGCAAAATGAACAAACTATCCCATTCAAATTTTTTCATCAATTTTTTATTTTCTAAAATTCAACTGCGTCGACTCACCATTGATATAAAATTAAAACTAAAATTTTTAAATCGTTCATATTATAATTATAAAAAGTTGTTTCATAACCAAACATTTATAAAAAGTTTCACGTACATAAAATTATAGTTAAGTTTAAAAAACTATATACATTTATATAGTTTTCAAAAGCATGTTTTTGTTTTTGAAATTTCACGAATAATGTGGAAAAAACAAAACATAGAGACAAATAGGGAAGGAAAACTAATGTAAACTTTAGAAAATGGAAAACAAAAAAAATTTTACGATCTTTTAGTCGGAAATAGGTGTTTTAATTAACCAGTTGAACTATGTTCGGATTGGCAATTTAAAACAAATTTGGTAGGACGTGAATAATTTGAATATATTATATATATAATAATTAATAATACAAAACGACATCGCACATGACAGTTTAATTTACTCTATGGAAGCCATCAATGTCTCGCTGATTAAGAGATGGAGAGAAGCTCAACATTCATACTCCATAATACAACTAATTATAATATAATATGATTTATTCCAAGTTCTAAAAATGTTTTAATTATTCTGATAAAAAAATGTTTTAATTATTTTACATTTTCTTTTAATGAACATATGCATGTGCATGTGCATATATGCCATGAATGCATACACAATATATCACATCACCTTCAAAAATAAAATCGTGAATGTTATTTTTTTCACTTTTTTTGAAAGAAAGTTCGAAAACAAATATTGTTCCTTCATGTTCTAACTCACCAAACCATTTTACATTCTAATTTTGTGTGTGTATATATATATCACTTCAAAATATCAACAAAATAGATATTTGAGAGACAAAGAAGATTAAAATACATGTGAGTTTTTTTGTTAGTACAACATGTAGGTATATACCAATTATCGCTGAGCTATGTTGGTTTTGGTAGTTTTATTTTTTCTTTTTGAAGATAGAGATTAAAATACCTATGATTATAAGTTATACTATGGTTGAGTTATATGTCGTTAACTTTATTTTTCTTTGATGTCAATTTTGTCTCTACGTTTTTCAATTCAATCCATCTATTTGAACGTATTAATCTTAATGATTGGATGAATATTAAAAAACTATTAACCACAATAATATACTATGTAAGATATCAATGTCACATCAAATCACATCAGAACTAGTTTGATAATATTTCTATTTCTTGATTCTTGTTTCTCATTATTAGTTTTTTAGGAGTATAAGTATTTAGTAACCGCTCATTTTTAAGAAAGGTTTTCAATCAACAAAATTCAAGTTTCTTGTTATTATTATTTCCAATTTTTTTCAAAACATAAATAAAAGTATTATTTTATTAAAATATTATTTTTCAAATAAAAATTTCATTTTTTTAATTTTAAATTTTTTAGGAAACGAGAAACAAAAAATGGTTACCAAACATATCTCTATTTCTTTTCTCGATAGAAGAAAGAAAAAAAACAAGAAACGATGATGAAACACAAGTTCTTATTTTATATTTATTAAGAAAGAGAAAACAAAAAAAATATAAAATATGAATGCTACTAAACCAGTCTTATTTTATATGCCACATATAACACCACTCAAAAGACAGTTGAAATTAACCAATTTTCCTTTTTTAGTACAACAAAAAAAATGGACCAATTTGAATATAGCAACTAAATTGAAATTCTAAAAAATACAATTGCAACAAAAAATTAACATAAAAAGGTGTAATTTATAACCTCGTGTAACTCGAAAAGGTGAAAATGGAGAATGAAGTAAATTGTAAAAAAGAAAGGGAATGGATTGGGCTGTCACGTAATATAGCATCACCACACGTGAGCGGTAATATTCTTGTGGATCACAGCCTAACAAAGTTCACGAGCGAGCATACTAGAGGAGAAGGTGCGGGTCCCACGCTTAATAATTGACCAGAACGGAGCCCACGACAATGTCAAAAAATCAAAAGAAAATTAAAAATAAAAATAAATTCGATTGGCCACCGATATCCGATCCATGTCATCAATGCATCTTAGATATTGATGGAAATGTCGAAATTTCATTTATATGAAAATGTTGATAAAAATATCAATAAAATATCGATATTGATGAATATTTCTGAAATAATTATAAAAATAAAAAATTCATAACAAACATTTAAAATGACGAGCAAGCATTTCACTCGTCTTAAATAAGTTAAAATTTATTGATAATAATATTATGTTCATATTTTTTATATTTTGGTAATTTTTTTTTTTTTTTTGCAATGCTAGAAAAATATCGATTCATCTCTCATTTCAATATCGAACCTATAGATATATGTCAAAGTGAGCATAGTTCAACGGTAATTGACATATATCTCCAACCAAAAGGTCATGAGTTCAATCTCTCACCTCCACATATTGTACTAAAAAAACCTATAGATATATGAAAATGTTAATGGAAATGTCGATATTTTGACGAAAATTTAACAACTCTAGAACCTAGATGCATCACGCGAAAATGGAGACTTGGAATGGAAAGCTTATTGCTCCTTCCACGTAAATCACTATCGTTGTTAAACTCCTTTTTTTTACTTACTATCATAGGGAGCATCCATGCCCTAATCGGACCCCACCAATTATAATTGTGTTCGAGATTGAGTAAGAACTTAGAGTTCATGCGTTCATATTCTATACACGAACCTACGAGTTTGCTTATCTTATAAGTTGAAATAATAGAATTACATTACTTTTAATATCCAACAGAATATCAAAATCAAGCTTTTCAAAATTCATTTTTCGACCTAGTAAAACTATAGATTATACATTCTCGTGAATCAAAAGTGGTTCTTTGCATACATGTTAAAATGGGACCCTCTCCACATGTCATGTACAATCTCAATGTCCATTCGACTCTCTATTATTGCATAAAAATCGATTTTATTCTATACTACATTTTCATAAAATAAAAATATTTGACCAGATTTAATCAACTTGGTCTCATAATAAAATATAGCGACAGAAAACTTCCTTTTTGGAAAGATGGATTTTTCAAGATTGGAARTGTCTCCTAATAAACCAAAAATGAGGGAAGGTAATGGGGGAGAAAATCAATTTTATTTTATATCTTTTTTTTATATATAAATGGGAGTCGGAGCTGCTCCCCTATACCTAGAGGTATTTGCGTCCATCCCAAGACCTACGTCAAGAATTTTTGATATTAAGCTCACTAAAAGGTTTGAAATTTTTATTTGATATCCTAATCCAAAAACCTAATATTATACATAAAAGTTATATATTTATTAATAAAATGTACACATATTTACGAATACTTCTATAATTTTTTATTTATTTTTTATTAAATGTTTGAATATATAGCTTGTAAGACTAGTCAATGTTATCCAATTATTATTTATTTACAAAAGGAAACTGAATTAAGATCAAGATGGGAAGAAAATTTGTCTTCGTACCTCAATTAGTTAAAAACATAAAATAATAAATATTTTTTATTTTCTCCCACCTACTAAATATTTATCTATTAATAGAAAATAATTTGTAAGGTTGAATTATGAAGACACGAGGGTGGGTCCCAAATCCCAATAGGCCAATAAAAATCCATGTCTATGACTCTATACACGTAGGGTTGGTATTCCAAGCTGATTTTTCTTCATTTATTTCTCAAATCTTCATTTTGAAGCAAAGTTTTTTACTATGATTATCACATTTTCCAATATATATTTCATACCAAAATCCAAGGGTTTTTATTTCCTTTTCTTCTTACTTTTCCTTCTTTTAAGGAATAAGTTACATCGAAATTTTGAAATTTGAAATAAGTAGAGTTTTATGGTCAAATTTTATTAGTAACAGGTCTACATCGTGAATAAATAAAAACAAGACTACTTTGATAACTATTTTTTGTTAAGTAGAGTTTTAAACTAAAAAAAAAGTAAAGGTTTTAGGGTCTTATATTAAAATGGGTTCTTTAATTAAATATTTAGAATTATTAAGTTAAATTTATTTTACATTTTATAAGTTAATAATAATAAAATAATATTTTCATTTATGATACGAAAAAAAATCTAAACAAGAAACAAGAAACAAAAATTTTACCAAGCACTTCCTAAGTTTGAGGTCTCTTTTACACAATAGTACAAAAGCGAAAGAAATACAAAATAAAAATTCTAATGTTGTTTGAATTCTATTGTTGGTTTATGGTTTTCTAAATATAGGCTTTATTTTAAACCATTTCTTTTTCTTTTTTTTTTTTTTTTGTTTTGAAAAACGCTTTTGACAATCAAATTTTAAAAACAATTAAAAAAATTTTCTAACATTTCGTCTCTATAAATTACCTCTCTAAAACTGTCACTCTTATATCCGTACCTTTTAGACTCCTTTTCTTAAAAGAAAATCAAACAAAAAACAATAATAGTAGTTGTTATTTGTTTCCAAAGAAAGAGTTTTATTTGTTTGTTTGTTTTATTTCAATTATTTAAATTAAATTTAAAATATATAATGTAATATTTAAGAGACCATTTGATAACCATTTCATTAATAATTTTCTATTTTTAAAAATTATGCTTGTTTTTTACAATTTCATTAGTAAATTTTTTACCTCTCTTGAAAACATATTTGAATTCTTAATCAAATTTAAAAAATAAACACTACATTTTGAAAACTCTCTTTTTGTTTTTTAACAAAAGAACATATAAGTGCAAATAATGTTTCTAAACTCTTCTTAAAAAAAATTGTTTAAACTTAATTTTTGAAATAGAAAGTCAAAAACCAAACAGTTACCAAACAAAGGTGGGAGTTGAGGAATCTCAACCAAATTTTGGAAAAGTATATATTTTTTTTTTCAGTGAAAGCACTTTTCTATAAATAATTTTCAAATAAGCAATAATTAATTATTAAGTACTTCTAAAACCACTTTAATTTTGAAAAATGTCTTTAATGGACTAAACTTTTTATCCCTTCCAAAAGTTATTCCAGACTCATCCTTAATCTTTTAGACCCTTCACAATTTATAAAATTCTCGATTAAATCCTTACATTAAAAAAAAACCTTAATAAATTATTGTTTAATTAACATATTTAGATATTCGGACATATCAATTAAAATAAATAAATTTTGTTGTTGATAGAAATATCAAGTTTTATGTGTCAAATAACATTCAAGCACGTGGTGTCTACGCATCCAAATATAATAAACAAAAAATTTAATGATGCATTACCTCTTTCATAACAAATTCCAACCATGTTTCATGGAATGAGCTAATTGAGAATTTCAAACACATTGAAGATCAAAAGGTTCAACCGGTAGAAGGTTCGAGTCTTCCACCGCTTACTATACTAAAAAAAGATGATCAAATTGAAAAATGCCTAAAAGGTTAGGGACCAACCAAAAGTTACAAAGGGGAAAAGAAGATTTGAGAGCAAATCACGTCGTATTTGTTTGTGTATATATAACATTTTTATTGATTTAGTTAAATGAGTGAAAAAATGGAGACTAACAGTAATAAAAATGTTAAGAAGAAGGAGAGTTAGAGGGTTACTGGTATTCGAAGCCCATCGTAGCTTAGTTGAGCGTCCACCCCTTCAGTCTCCTTCAATTTCATCAGATAACTGTTTACCTCTTCGTGATCCATTAGATGCATCATACCTTCATCAATATTTCCCATCAGAAATCTAAAAATATTTTGTAATGAGTTGCAGTCAGAGAGAATGAATCGGAATTTTTTTTTTTTTTTTTTTGTCTAGATATCTGTGAGTATGTTGACTAGCTTGCGCTTCGACTAATCTCAAAAGACAATAGAGTCACACTACTATACTTGGCTGTTAAAGTAACTCGTAGCATATTAAATTCTAGGTAGGTGACTGCTATGGTTTGGATCTACTATGGTTTGGATCTATCCCTTCTAAATCCTTTACTCTTTTTTTTATAACTAGGAGCCGGAAATTTGCTCCCCTATACTTAGGGGCACCCGTGCCTGCCTCAAAGGATTTTTGTATTAAGCTCACCAATATGACCAAGAGACCCAAGCCCTTGTCAAACGGCTGCCACTTGGGGCTTCTAAATCATTTACTATTTACAATAGCAAATCAGAAAAACATATTATAGAGGGGAGGAAGAGAGGCAGAGAGAGGAGAGTTAAACATACCGGTGAAAAAAGTTCTCTTTGGTTGAATTTTCCTTACTTCTTCTAAAGCCTGAAACAAGAAGATTGAAGAAGAAACCTTGATTTTCTTTCCTTTTCTATTTTTTTTGGATTATGTTCAGAAAACATTGAATGAATGTGAAGACTTACTCTTGGAAGTCCAAAGTGGGTGGAGGAAGATCGATCAGGCCGTAAAGCATCCTGAAAGTGACCACAAATCACAACTATTATCTTATTCTCCAATCTCCATTGTATGTTTGTTTCTAATGGAAGAGAGATGGAGAGAAAAGGGCAGATACCAGAATGAGGATTTCACAATCTTTCAACAGTGGATAAGTTTCTTCAGGTATTTCACTAACATCACTGTCCAAAATAAAAGCCAAACATTTGTAACTTCCAAGCAGATGAATGTTAGCTTCTGATCGTATCTTTTGAGATGGAGAATCATATATTTTACTTACTTACCTAATGTAACAAACATTTCCAAATCGAAAACCCAGCGAACGGTAGCCACGACCATGCCACACTGGTAAAGGGGTCACCTGAAGAAGGAAAGGGGACAAAAATTAATATGAAGCTATCAGATTGACATAGAAGTAAGCATTTCGGGTCAACAATCATAAGTTCAAAGAGTATCAACTTTTTATCTGAACTAATTTAATGACACATAAACTTCGATTAACAAATAACAACGCAACACTGCCAACATGCTTTCATTATTTCACAAATGTGCACCATTAAAAAAATTAGCAAGGATCACTAAATGATTGCACGCTCCCTTCTATTTTGCACCACCCCTTTTGCAGTTCAAAATGGACGAAATGACTGAACCAGAGTTGGTCCAATCAGTTTAAACTTAAAGTATACATGTTGCTCAATTCTCACTTTTCTAAAGTATAAAATTGAAAAGTAGTCGATCCGTTCAATTCGGTTTAGTGGTCAATTTTCTCGGTTTGGTTTTTATAAAAATTATCTTCAATGTTGATTCTTAGTTTTCTTAAACCGATACGATATTTCATTCGGTGAACTTGGCGCTGGCTAGCCGACCAAAAATGACCAACTTATACCCCCTATAAAGCTGAAAACCCTAGATGATAACTAACTCAGATGCCCACGTGCCACGTTAATTTCTACATAAACCTTAACAAAACTATGATCACTTTTTCAGATGGACAACCCTAAATCCACCTCTAGAGCTTTGGCAATGTATGGTTTTACTGTTAGGTGCATTAGAAAAACTAAAAGAAAAGAAAAAAGATCATCATATATACTCAAGAATAAAAGAAAAATGTTCTTAAGAAAATTTCTGCTTTCAGTAATTGAACAGTATATGCAATCTTAAAATTTAGAGGCTCGAAAAAGAATCCAATTCAAAATTAAAATTCCTACCTTCAAATCATGGACTACAAAAGGCTCCCCAGGTATGATATTGAACTGCAACTCTGAGACCGCAGCACCGGGTAAGATCACACTTGTGTCCACCAAATAGTAATGAGTCTTCTTCATCACCTAAAATTATTTCACTTTATGTCAAGTATCACAAAATAATAGAATTAAACAATGAAAAGGAGGCAATTGTGAAGCCAGGACCTCAAAATCACGCTGAGCCACATAAATTGGAACAGAGGGCTGGACATTGTTTGTCCAATCACGAAGATCATCTAGACCTAATGGGAAAAGGCAGAAAAGGAAATAACAAGAAAGAAACAGTGGTCAATGATTAATTAGTTGACGGCTACGTAGAAATAAAAAGAAGGTCGGGGATCGTAGGAAGAGGAATGAAGTATAAAAAATGTAATCTATAATTGAAACTTTTTTCTGTAATCTAAAATAAGATTAGATTGCAAGGTATTCATGTTTGAGACCTCCAATTGCATCAGCATGAGAATGAGTAATAATAACCGCATCAATTGTTCTTATCCTGGCAGAAATGCAACTAGTTATAATGAGGCAAAAATCATATGAAAACAGAGTATGGCATAAGATTATGATCGGGAGCGCTACGACATACCAAAAAAATAGAGACATACATACCATGAAATGTAGTATGTATTATTTTAGTAGTTGCCAGATCTTGGTTATATGGTAAAACTAACATGTCAAAGAGGGTATTGGCAAACAAAAGAAAATTGGAAATCAATACAACAATCAACTGGTTTCTGCATTGAAATTCATGAAACAGAATATGAGATGGTACAAGAGAGGGATTTCTGTCTAGTATCTTCTACTGGAACATCTACGGGGAAAGGAAAGGTAATCCTCATTTGGCATATATGCATAATATGCAGTTACCCCTTCACCATTTTTATCCACATCATACACAGACTAAGATAGCGATAGCTTACATGCCCTTCAATTAATTTCGTACGACAGTTCTAAATTGTGTACATAATTTGACAAAGAAATTTAATATCCTACAAAGGCAGCTACCATAATTAAAACTTGTGGAATTAAAGGATATATGAATTTATGACTTGCCCTTTTGATAATTATTCATGGAAGTACAACAAAAGAAACAAAAACTTGCCCCAAAAATAAAAACTCACACATACTTAGTATGGAAGTACAAAGGAATGAGGACACCAAACAAAAAACATGAGAGGCAAGAAAACTATTAAAAGGAATGTAAAGCTTTACAAGTAACCATAAAACTAATTAATTTGGGTCATAAAACTCTTAGCAATAGAAGTGCATCTCGATCAAGCCAAACATCAGGAGAAACAGAGTAGCTACTCAATTTACGTTATATAAAATCTTGAACTTAAGCAAACAAAACAATTACTGACCCGAATGCTGGAAACCATCGAAGAGCACTGTGGTAGAAAAACCTGCAAGAAAAATATAGAACTCTCACAATAGCCATGGACAATTTATAGCAACAGTTGGATAAATTTATAGCCTCGTTTGTTTTGTTTCAGTCTGGATAAGAGATTTCTACTCCCTGCCCTTAGGTTGTTCTGTTTCCTTCTTTTTAGCCTCTTTTTTATAATTTCAGAAAAAGTTCAGAAAAGCACTAATGTACGGAATAAAGGTTAAGAAATAAAAATCATATGACTATAATATACTAACTTTCCAACATCTATAAGAATGTTACGACTTCCAGAGGGTCCAGGATATCGAACTAGGATACTGGTATTAAGCCGCCTGTTCTTATTTCCCGGTTCTGCAGCTTTGAAGCATACCTAAAAGAGGAAAAAAAATCATAAAATGCTGTTAAGGGGTGTTTTTTAGATCACGGGTTAGACTAATAACTTGGAGTTTAAAAGTCAAGTCTATGCTTGGTATGTGGATTTGTCAATACTAAGGCCTACATAAACTCATATCACATCAACCTATACTTATAAAACCCAACTTTAATAATATATACTGACTTTTAAAAATCACAAATCTACCAACATTTCTATAACCTACAGGCTACAATCCTCTCAAGCCCACTACTAGTAGGTACCATTAGTTTCCTTCTTACAATAGCTTCATTTGGAAGGAAGGAATGTAAGCCACTGTTACACATTTTGACATTAATCAGAAAATTCACTTAAGCCAATAAATATGAAAACCATACCGGGCATTTCTTTACAGGATTAGTCAGGCAACTCACTCGCGGGATTCCCTCGCTGGTACCTGTACCTATAAATATGATTTCTGATTCATTGGAGGGCAACGTCTCCCGATCAAACTCAGCAGCAGAAACTGTAAATACAAAGTATGAATAACCACACATAACATTATTCTAAACCCACAAACAACAGTATAACGATGCAACCCTTAACATTTTGCCTATTCTCGCCGTCAATTAACAAAATACAATAGAACACAGTATTAAGGAAAATCTCGTACAATTTTCCTCTTGAAATCTTATAATAGAACAGAAAACATGGAAGGAGCGAAAAGGTTAATGGGCCATGCAAAGTCCACCACATACGCAAGCTTAAAAACTCTAGAATCATTGAAGCGGAAATTGAAATTACCACACAAACAATAAAGATAGTGAAGAGAAATCGAATTGAAATAGAAAAAATAGCGAGGAGATTTTGCAGCATATAAGATTCTCGGAAACAGTGAGAAATGCAGCTCACCGGATTGAAGGCGTGCTTGGGCAATTCGTCGAAAGGGAGAAAACCCTTTTCTGGAAATAGAAAATGCAGAGCTTCTGAGTTGAATTTGGACTCGGCTTCCGAGAGCGGCAAGATAGGCCATAGAAGTGAGTGGAAGAGCGGTGCCCACCAACAAAACCATCGAAAAGGGTTCGGTTTCGAAATCGTTGAGAACGCCGTTTGATGGGAAGAATGAAAATTTGAATTTCCGATTTATTTGGAAAGCATTTCTTGTAAGTGGACGGTAGCCGGCGCAAACAGAAGTTCATCAGACTACAGAGCCCGCGAAGAACTGCCGGTGGCGAAAATTCTTTTGCCTTGCTGAAATAATGATTTTTCCTTTTTCTTTTCTTTTTTCTTTTTTCTTCAAAAAAGTAAAATTTTGAAAATTACAGTAAATCTGAGTCTGAGCTTGAATCTCGAGTATTAACGTACAAGTCTCTTGCCACTGTACCAACCAATATTCTTGAGTTTGATTAAGTTTACGTTAATTTTGCAAAATATTGAATTGCATGCAATAACCCTAATACCTCTAAATTTTCTAAAAATAACCAAATTTTTGTTTCAAAATTCCTCTTCTGTCAACTATTTCATTAAATGAATGTAGGGAGTGACGTGACAAATACTTGTTAAATAGGATTACACATGATAAAATTTTCAAGTTTTATTTATATCCTGAACTTTAGGTTTGAATCATACCTTTTATCATTTAGAAAAATTTTAATTTTAACAATCGTCTCAAAACAACCATTTTATCAGCATCCCCACTTAAAATAGAGATTGATTTATAATTCCATGATGACCTCTTAAAAAATAAAAATAAAAATTCTTAGCCACAAAAAATGACATTATATAGTTTGAGGGCAAGGGAACAATTTTGGGGACGAGTAAATTATTGTTTCTTTTTCGTGAGAAACTAAGGGGTTAAGAAGACCACAAAGTATAATGTCCTCTTAATCGACCTTCCCTCTTAGTTTGATGATACCAAGATTGGAGAAATCCATCATCAAGGGATAGTTATGCAGCTTCTCCTATTTTTGTCACTTGCTTAGTGTCACAACTATATTAGAAGAGAGTATGTTATGACGCCCACGAAGGGGACAAGTGGTGGCAACATGCATGTATTGACCATTAGACCATGTTTAGGGTTGAGAGAGAGAAAGGTGTTGTGATGCGACCAAGGAATGCATCACCTAACACACCAAGAGAATGTGTTTAAGAAAGCCTAGCTAAGACGCAAGTAAAATTGGAAGCAATAACAGCATCAGTGGAGTCAACGACAATTTCAGTAGAGCTAGTTGAGGCTCTGGGCCATGACCCTAAAAGTTAGAATTCCGTTGAGATTTTGGATGAACAACTTTATAGTTAGATGCATATTAGTGAGATATGCAAGCATGTCAAATTTCGCGAAGTTCAAATGCGTGCCCTATGCTAGCGAGTGACTCTTCACCATTTTGCATATACATATCTGCTAGAGCAAGAATGCCTTAGAATGTTTTTTAAGGGAGGGCATAGTGCTAGCTCTCCACCACTTGGGAATATGTGCGTCGGGCATAGGTGTGATGAGCATTACCGCGCTCCCGAGCAAGATTGGGAGTGCGAGATAAATGGGAGCGTGTGGGATGTGTCGCTGCTCAAATTAAGGCTGGTATGGAATGACTTTAGAAATTTTGTCAGCTCTTACAGTCGGCGTCAAATGTTTGATCAAGATTTTGACCAAGTTTGCGAAGATCGGCTCAGGCGATGATGGACCCTTCCAATGAGCTGATGTGTTGTCAAGTGAGAGACTTACAAAAGAGAGTAAAAACTTCAATGCTCAAGTCAATAGCTGGCCAATCTATACTCGAGAGTGGATATAGTTTTGCGTACCTGAAAATGAGGTGGGAGGTCTATATTTATAGGGTGGAGCTTCAGGGATCCGACAAGCCTCCAATAGCTTTTCGACAGCTYGATAATCGCGGTGTGTTGTCGTGGATTGTGTCAGAGTTAAGTTCCTGAAGGAGTATCCATTGATCGACACGACTGGCAACTCAGKCGATCGAAGTGGAAATTGGTAGCCCACCTCGACTTGTATTTCAACCGACTAAGGTAAGAAATAGGTCGGCTCGACCTCTATGGCTAGATCTGAGGCGAAAATCCTTCCATTAATCAAATTTCTATACTGACTCATCATCATTTTATGAAAGATTGTCACGTGGTCAATAAGACATATATTAAGTGAGTAAATATTGCATGATAAAATAATAATAGAGACCAAACTAATTCTTTTTTAAAAGTTGCACTACTTATGTAGAAAATTTATAGACAAATTTCATTCTTGTTCTAGAAGCTCACGTACTGATACACTATTATAAATTACTTTGGAAGTTCGAGTACCAAACGAAAGATGAAACTAGAAATTTATAGTTAATCTGAATTAGTTCAACTGATTAAGACACCTATCTCAAACTAAAAAAATCGTGAACTCAAATCTCCCCCATGTATTTAAAAAGAAAAAACCTAGAACTAGAAACCTATTAATTGTTTATGATCCAAATATAAATGACTAAATTATACAAATTTAAACTTTGTCAAATTAGAGTCAAAAGCTGGAACTGTATTTCTGACTATGCATAGGGTGGTGCTGACGTGGAGATGACGTGGATTATGGCGGCGTTTTATCCTCAAATCGTATGGGTCATTTTGCAGAAGCGAAACGAAGAGGAAAGCCAAAGCCATGGCCGTTCTTCTGCGCCCACTGTGGCTGTGCGGCTCCTTCTCGCTCGTCTTCCCATTTCCCAAATTTCAATCCACAAGAACTTCACTCTCGCTAGAATTCCCACCGCCACCGTCCTCCCCATCTCCTCACTTTCCCACTTCTCTCTCAATTCGCTCTCGTTTTTCCATTGGTGAGTCTTGATTCGAAGATTTCCCCACTTCTAATCCTTCTGTATCCACTTTATTAGCTCTTGTTTGAGTTTTTTTAATCGAATTGATTCTGGGTTATTCTTAATTTTTTTTTGAATTGTTAGTTTTTTTTTTCATGTTTAATTCTTCTTCCTCGTTGTTGTGATAAATTCCGGTTTCTGAAACATGTTGGTTTCTTCCGGCAGTTTCATTTGCGACACCCGAGAGCCAGGTGGGCGAGGAGCTCGATGCTGATACTCGAGAATGGGCGATGCAAGGTATGTTTAGTTCTCTTACAAACAATATTTAAATTCCTAGATTGAAACTACCGTGTTCATGGGGTTTTAACTATTGAACAGCCTTTGTTGTCCTTATGTTCTTTGATATTTATTACTTAATTAACAAACGCGTTCCGAGTGTGAAGGTCTCAAAAGCAAAACTAACAATAACTGGCAGTGGGCAGTGGGCAGATACTTGAAAATTCTTTAAGGACGAATGTTTGTGATTCTAACAATAGTTTAACGTAGAAAACATTAATTTGTTACCAGGTATCCAACATTTTCGGTTGTTTTAAGGAGATGATGACATTATCTTTTCTAATATGATATATTGCCTTTTTTTTCAATGAAAAATTAAGCTTCGAGTTTTGCTGAAAAACCAAGCGTTCGTTAAATTAAAACAATATAATGTATTTGATCTCACTGCCCAAGTGATCAAATAAATATTCAAGTCTCATGTTTGGCTTCAGACGTGAAGCTTTTCCGAGTGTTAAAATTTGGTTATTAAGAGGTCACCAATGGTTCTTTGAATGATTGGTTAACCATCTTGATGGGGTGAAAAAAGAATAAGTGACTTACTAGTTGCATCCATTCATCAAACGTGGTCAATGTTTATGTTATACAATGTTCAGTTTCAAATGCTGCCATATGAATCTTCACATGAATGATAATTGATAAATTGCTTGAGCCTGTTTATCGTGTCTGTTCTGGTAATCTGGCAACTAGTGAATAACATCCCTTAAAATATTTATCGCGGCTACTTTTAGGACCCCTGCAGGCTGTTTTGTTGTCCCAGATTTTGATTTTACAAGTCAACTGTACTGATCGATGCATCTGATTCCCATTTATCGATTTTGGATTCAATGATGTTTGCAACACAATGCAAATGATATAACCAGTGCTTGTTGTTGCTGACAGATTTTTATTCCTTAAGGAAAGAAGTGGAAACAACCTCAGAGCGTGTGGAAGAGATAAGAAACTCTGCTGGGTTGTTTCAGTTGGATCAAGAACTTGCAGATTTGGAGTCGAAAGCGGCCGACAATGCTTTGTGGGATGACAGATCTAAGGCTCAACAAGTTCTTGTGGCCCTCACTGATGTGAAAGATAAAATAAAGATGCTTACTGATTTCAAAACACAGGTAGTGTATATAGCATGCAATTTAATCTTTAGAGAATACTCCATTTCATTTGCTAAAGTCACTTATGTAGACATATATGGAAGCCCTAAATTGAAAGAGTCTAAAATTATAGTAAATGATAAATGACTAATAAAGCCTTGGATCTTAGGCATCTACATCAATTTACATAATAATATGCATGTTGTAACAATCACCTCAAGTTGGAGCAAATATTAATCATGCCTAACTTGCTACAAAGCTACTCTATTCATACCCCATTTAAAGATTTTGTTATCAATATCTCCTGCTAGTTCTCCGATCTTTATATATCATGTAGACACCACTTCTATTTGCTTACAAGTAAAATGACAATTAACTTCCGTATATGTAGTTTGCATACATAAGTGCAAGTGTTTGTTGGATGGCTGTCTTAAGGTCATAGTTCACCTAAGTATAACATGGCTATGGCCTACTCTGTATTTTAGTTGGAATTGCAATATTTGATTTTAAGGCCTTTCCATTGGTCCTGTGGTCATGTAGAGAATGTTCTTTTTGTCTATTCATTTTCTTTTATGAGCAATACAATGGAAAAGGGGACTCTATACTTCTTTTTGGAACAGTACCCTTCAGAGGGTAGAATAAAGCTTGGAAGTAAGCTATTTTAAGATAATGAAACTTGAACTGTATATCTAGCTTGGAAGTAACCAAACTAATCCGTAGAAGCCAATTGGATAAATAGCCTATCCAAGTTTTTGAAAAGTGAATGAAATCATCATCTCAGGTGTGGGTTGCGTTATGATTGATTCAGGTCGAAGAAGCAGAAACAATAGTTAAACTGACTGAAGAGATGGACTCTGTAGATACTGGGCTTCTTGAAGAAGCTGCTAGTATTATCAAAGACCTAAACAAGGCACTGGATCAATTTGAATTGACTCAACTTCTTTCTGGTCCGTATGACAAAGAAGGCGCTGTCATCTCTATCTCGGCTGGAGCTGGGGGTACTGATGCACAGGTAAATAGTTAAGGTCTTATTGTGGAAACTGTTTTCAAAATAATTTTTTAGTTTTGTGTTCAAAACTGCTTCCAAGAAGTATGGTTGCGTGTGCATTTTTAAACTTCCAACTTTTTCACTTACTTCTTCGATATTAAATTTTTGATAATCTCCAGTGCAGGATTGGGCTGACATGCTTCTGAGGATGTATGTGAGATGGGGAGAGAAACAAAGATACAAAACAAGAGTGGTCGAGAAATCTGCAGGAGAGGAAGCTGGAATAAAATCAGCTACAATTGAAATCGAGGGTCGATATGCTTATGGATATATATCTGGAGAGAAAGGAACACACCGGATAGTGCGACAGTCTCCTTTTAACTCGAAAGGACTTCGACAGGTAATTATAACACTGCCCCCTGGTATCCCTACTACTTGGAGTTATCAAGGAAAGATGGACGATAGAGGGTGCATAATGTCATTATGTTTTAAACTTCTTATGAACTGTAAACTTAAGGTGGTTTTGAGCCTTCCATACCGAGTTTAGAATCTAGGGTCGACTTCTAATGTATGATGCTGCTTCCTTGGGATAGATTGTTTGATGGATGAACCTCTCTATTTTAATACGAGTTCTATGCAGACAAGTTTTTCTGGTGTGGAAGTCATGCCYCTCCTTCCCGACGAGTCCATGGATGTTGAATTACCAGAAGAGGACCTGGAAATAAGTTTTTCAAGGGCAGGAGGAAAAGGAGGTCAAAATGTTAACAAGGTTGAAACGGCTGTTCGCATTACTCATATCCCAACAGGCGTCACGGTTCGCTGCACAGGTCTTCTATACTCATTAATCATCATTGTTTATGCCACCATGAAAACTTGATGTCTGTTCTGTTCGTAAGAGTTATTGTGTCCTCAATTTTTAATCAAAATTGTTCAAAGCCACCACCACTTTTAGCAGCATAATTTCTCCTCAAGTTGTTGATGGAAATGTAATGTTATCATGGTTGGAGTATTCATTTTCTCTGAGAATACATTTCATCCAAATGTTTCTGGAAATGTTTGGCATTTGCTTGCTACAATTTACCATCTTTAAAATCTTTGGATTAGATACACGCAACCCGGGACCATTCGTACCGAGTGGACCATATATGTTTTCATTGACAATCATTGACAACAAACCTTTCAAACGTCCCCATGTTGCATGGTTTTAAACTGATGGTATTTCATTCATCTTCTCAACTATAATGCAGAGGAGAGATCACAGCTAGCAAACAAGATCAAGGCGTTAAGCCGATTGAAGGCCAAACTCTTAGTCATAGCAGAGGAGCAACGTGCATCGGAAATCAAGCAAATACGAGGAGATGCCGTAAAGGCCGAGTGGGGGCAGCAAATAAGGAACTATGTGTTTCATCCATACAAGCTTGTGAAAGATGTTAGGACAGGATATGAGACATCAGACATTGTCTCTGTAATGGATGGTGAATTGGAGCCCTTCATCAAAGCTTACCTGAAATACAAATACAGTATGGCATTGTCTACTGGTGGGGTTAACTAAAAACCAGCATAAACTAGAATAGCTGTCTTTGATTGATGTTTTATATGTTGTATATTGCAGGCTCTGAGAATTTAGATTTAGATTTTTTTTTTGTTAGTTTTACCTGTAACGATATGGGAGATCTCTATTCTAAATTATATGCATTTTATATCATGCGCTTGATTTTAAATATCTGTTGACACATCGACATTTCTGTTGACATGTCCATGTTTTCATAGGTTCGACATCGACATGATGGGTAAATCGATATTTCCATCATAGTACAAAAAAATCCATAAAATATGAAAAATATCAACAAAATGTTACTCATATATACATAATATTAATATTAATTATTTTTAACTTAGTTAGAAATATGAAAATGTTTATTTGTTAATTTAAATATTCTTTTATGATTTTTTAATTTCTATAACATTTATAGCAATATTTATTGACATTGACATTTTATCAATATTTCCATGAAATTGAGACATTGACTTTTAAATTTTTTATGAACTCCAACTTATCTACAGAAGATAGCACAATCAAATTAGTATAATTGAAAACATTGAAATTTTACACACACATATATACACATTTTTTTAATGTTTCAATGATATTTATTAAAATATTTTAAAAATGAAACATTAAAAATTAAAGTTAAAATTGTACTTTAAGAGAATAAAGCGAGGATTCGGATTTTTTCAAGTGAGAAATAATAGTTAGTATAAAAGATTGGAATGTAATTAATAATTCAAATTAATTTAGAAATAAAAAAAAAGTATAGTTAGTTGAGAAACATACAATCTTGAAATATAGGATATAGAAAGAAAAATAATTCGTTGTACTGAAGGAAAAAGAGAAAAATAATTTAATTAATTTTGAAATAAAAAAGTATATAGTTATATGAGAGAGACAAAATCTGAAAAATATATGATACAGAAAAATGTGATGAGATGCTTTGGGAAAAATAAAAGGAGGAGGGTTGCAAAATACTCAACTGCCCTAAAAAGTTGATTGATCATTCCTTTGCCATACTTTTTTTTTTTTTTATGTGGCACTGTAAATATGGCCACTAACCAAAACTTTCCTAAAAATCAAATTTGTAAGAAGAAAATGAAAGTATAAAGTTTGTTATTCATTATTTGATGAGTTAGTATTGATTTTCTACGATTAAGATCTGCTTTTGCTAATCTAATTTCTATTTAAGACTTTAGTTGTTTAAAATCCGCACGTATATCTAATTTGGTAGCAATCTCCGCTTAGTCATTAGGGTACAAAGGTTTGAACTTCCGACCTTCAAGAAATTAGTAGATGTTATTTACCACTAAGATAAGTTCATGTTGACAATTAAAAATGACTATCTAGCATTAATAAATTAAATTTTAATATTATGAAAAAATGTACAAATAGTCTCTAATCCTATGAGTAGTTCTCAATTTATTCCTCAATTTTATATAAAAAGTTTCCAATTAAGTCATTCGAAAAAAATAGTTGCTAAAATTTGTTAACATAAGACGTTAGATCATTAAACTATTATTTTATTAACATATTTAGATATGTGAATATGATATTCAAATACTACCTGACACATAATCCAACTTTCTCATCAACAAATTATCTAACTTATCCTTCAACTAAACTTCTTTCTTCTTTTAAATAATATGTCCACATGTCCAAATATATTAATAAAACAACACTTTAGTTATATACATATATATATATATATGTTTTGTTAACAAAGCTTAACGTTTTTTTTAAGGATTTAGTGAAGAATTTTCAATACATTAATGATAAATTAAAAATTTTTAAAAGACTCTAGATCAAATTATGAATACCTAAAAGATTAAGAACAACACAATATACCTAACTTTTAATATATATATATATATATATACATTTTTTACTTTGTTTTTTTTCCCTAATAATTTGAGATAGAAGAAATAAAAATACTCTTTTTTTTTAATAAAACAACATAGAAATTTGAACACATAACCTTTTAATCAATAATATATATCTTAATCAGTTGAGCTATGCTCAGGTCTGCAGATAAAACAATTAACTTAACCTAAAAGATGAAGAACTAGAAATTCATCTGCAAAAGTAATTGAGATTACTACCAACCAATTCTTCCAACGAGATCTCATCAATTTTTCATCTCCAACTTCTTTGTGATTTGATGTTGCCATATTGGCTTCACTAGTAGATGAAGTTGAAGGTAATGGTTCTATATTGTTTCAATTCAAAATATTAGAGACTATACGATATATTTAGCCAAAAATATATTGTTGAAGAATAATATCTTTGTAGATGGATGGATTGATTCCCTCTAAAAAGTAAAGAAGCACAACAATCAGCTCAAGTTGTTTCATTGTACCACAAAGATGACAATGGAACTTTCCACGTGGCACTATAGTACTGGTCTCTCTCTCAAGACCCCAAAAAGAAAAAATAAAGTAGAAAAGAAAGTGCACCAAATAAGTTTCATAGTGGCCATTACTCATTGGCCACCCCCCTACCATCCCTCATTCATGTATTACCATTTATTTTGGTAGTTCTTTCTCGATCAATTTCCTTTCATATATAAAATTTGCGTAGAATTCAAAACATAATGGATTAAAATGAAAAAAAAAAAAATTACAAAGATTGGAATATACCATTTTAAAGTAGGACTAAACTAAACCAAAGTTGAAAGTGATTCCTAATTTGACCAAACTTTGCAATCCAAAAACAAAGATTTGATCTTAATTTAAATATGTTATTCTATTCTAGTCTTTGATCTATTCTAATCTCCAACTTTTCATAAAAGAATCCAACACACCCTCACCTACCACCTAATGTGGCTCAAATACTTTGACCATTATAAACATCCATTAATCAAATAATGAGAAAGTGTCAATATCAAATTTACTGTAAATTAATAACAAAGTTTCAAGCAACAGAATTATTTTTTTTAATTTAAGAATCAAAATTGATTTGAACAATTAGTAGTAACCTCTACAATGGTTGAAAAAAACAATAATAACAAATAGTCATTACTCTTCTTTCAAGATTGTCTATGTTTGAATAGTATCTCTAATGTTTTAGATATATCAACTTGATATAAATCAATCTTTTAGACTATGTTAAGTGAAGTTCTCAAATCGTCRTGATCAAGTTTCTTGTTCCCACTACAACTTGTTTAGTACTATAAATTGAGGGCATGAAAATTTGAAGAGAGAAGCAGGTACCCGTATACTGGTTGGCATTTACAATTTTTTCTAAAACATAAATAAAAATGAAGTAAATTACTCGCCAAAATAGGTAAAAATTCAAGACAAAYTAATGAGAGACCAAGCAGAAAACAGAGAAGGGAAGAGGAAGAGACATAATACAATAAGATGATAGGATAAATAATGAGCAGAATACATTTACATGGCAAATGGACCAGAAACCAACCAAACAACAAAAACTCTATACATGAAAACTCATGGTGACCATCAAAAAAATACATGAACAAACACTCACTCCTCACTCCCCTCTCTCTTTTCCCTCCAAACAGTAGCCAATTTTTATATAATACAAAAAGCCCCTCCTTCCCAAACACACACATCAAGATTCAACCAAACCTTTTCTCTACAACACAAGGCTTGTTTGTCTCTCAACCCACCCCCCACTGTCCCACAAGCTACCTTATAAGAGAGAACCCAAAAAAGAAAAAAGAACAAAAAAAAATCAAATTTGGATGATCACCAGCAAAAACATTTTTCTTATATTTACACTACAGATGATGGATCTCAAATCCTCTTGCATCTCCTATTTGGAAACTTTTTTCCCTCTGGTTGTTAAAAAGTCTTGCCTGTGGTTGTTGAAAAGTTTTGTTGCACTTTTAGCTCCATTCTCTATTTACACTTTCCCTTGATGGAGGTTTTTTTTTTAAGCAACTGCAGGGATCCTAGAATTCTGGCGGTCCCTACTAAGACAATCGAATCCTTCTACTCTAACTGCAGCCGGCTTTAGGCCGAACTTCATCCTCGCACACCCTCCTCCCTTGTGGGCTGATGATGATGATGTCGAGGATGGGGATGAGAGACCTGACGGGGAATATGCCGGGGGCAATGCTGGCATAGTACTCAGTTTCTCATCCCCAAACCGGGCATCCTGGATTAATGGGTTCGAAGCTCGGCTCGGCGGAGACCCACTATAAAATGGGGGTGACGAAGCTACATGGCCGCTAGATTGTTCCGACCCCTATGGCATAATTCAAGGATACAATCAATCATATTGTAAAGACGTACGAAAAAGAAAGTCTGAGATCTAGACAACAAACCTTCAAGAGAGAAATAATTGAAAGGAAGTGAAACACAAAAGACTTTCTATAAGAAACTGAAAACATGTGAAATACCAAAAAAGGATGCTTGTACTTCGATCAAAAGCTGTGACAAATTTAAATCTCTCCTAAGCTTTTAGTAAATGGACAAGACACAATCAATTTCAGAAATATATGTTTTAGCCCTTAATTTTTTGGATATTTTACAATTTAGTTCCTAATGTTTTAACATTTCTCAATTACACCCTTTGGTCAATGAATGTTAAAGTTAGTTGATGATAAGCTTACAAGGCATTGGCCATCTAAGAAAGAAGTTTTTAGTTCATCTCTAAACTCACTAAATTATAATCAGTCACATCAACTTAAATGTGTTAAAAAACAACGGACTAAATTGAAACTTGTTATACTAATTGAAGAAACACCAAAATATGTTAGACTAAAACATATATTTAGCCTTTAATATATGTTCGGCTATAAGGTCAAAGAGTTATCAGTTTCTATAACTAATGGCCAAAACAATATGAGGAATGAGAAAGAACTTGCCTTCTTTAAAATGATGTCAAGGAGATCTGCCCCAGCTTTTGAATCACAAACCTCAGTTTGGTGCCATCTTAAGGGCTGCTTAACATGATTGTTGGCAAGAATCGCGAGTCGCCTGGGCTTTGGACAGACAACTGGGTCCTTCAGATCAGAGATCGAGGCAAAGCCCCTAGTCTCTTCACATGAGATAAAGGTGTTCTGCTGAACAATAAAATGATTCATCTTTGAAACTGGCTGATCTGCAGAAGAACGCCTACACGATAGAGAAAAACGAAGTTGAGATACAAAAATCCTAATACATAGTCAGATCTAATGGAAAAATTGTCAAAAGTCTATCCTATCAAAGCTCAAAAATCTCATATGGTAACAAAGGATAACAGATCGTATAGCCAAACAACAGATCCAAATCTCAAAGTGTTGATGACCAACAGATCTGAGGTAAAAATCAAAATTTCGCAGAACTGATCAAATCATGAACAGAAACCCAAATTCACAACATTTCTTCACCAAACTTAGAACCATCTAGACCTTTTCACGAAACCCAAACAAGATCTTCCATTAAAACCTACAGATCTGAGATCTAGACCTTGAAAACCACGAAAACAAAGAACAGATCCTGAAAAAAAAAAAAAAAAACCCTCAAACCTTTTTCAGAATCAAGTTAAAAGCGAGTTTGGTCTCTCCTTTCCCTTGCGAGGACAAAACCAAGGCAAAGACCACAACATCGGATATATAGATTTGGGAATTAGGGATCTTGACCCGAAGAAAATCCTGGAGACAGCTTTAAACAACAAAATCAAAATTAAAATGGAGAAGACCAGCTAAGAATCGTCCAGATCCGGGAAAAACGAGACGAAGGGGTAGCAAATCTCGACCAAATATAGAAAAATCACACAACGGCCGGAGGAAAAAAAGACCAAATGCAAATTTTTTTCCTTTTTATTTGTTTTTTTGTTTTTGGTTTTAAATCCATAGCAACCCTCAAATGATTTTGACATACAAAGGGGGAAAAATCAGTGTGGATATTGTTAAAAATAGAGTAAGATCAGATGGGTTTGTAGAGAGAGAGAAATTGACCTGAAGGAACCCGGGGCAAAGGAAGAGATGATAAAAAAGCTGGAGCTTTGAGCCACCGCCACGGGAGGGGAGAAAAGCGTTAGAATGGAGATGGGTTCGATTTATAGCAGGGGCGACGACCAGAGAAAACGACGTCGTTTTGGGGGGGTTTTTTTTTTGGGAAATTGAAAAAATTAAAATTGGAATTTTTTCTTTTCCCGACAAAGGAAAATGATGAAGGCGTGTAGCTTTTTAGCTGGCATTGAGTAGTTTGATAGTGCAGTAATTACGGCTATTCCTTTTCTTTTTTTTTTCTACCTTTTCTTTTTACTCTAGGGTTATGGCCTTATGGTTAAGTGAAGTTCAAATGTGACTTTTTAAATTAAATTATGCAAAGTGGTAGATTTCTATTACTATTTTTAATAGCATTTTAAATCTGAAAATTTTGAGCTTGGTAAATTCTGAGGAGTTGTGTAGCCTGTATTCGGGAGGTAAGTTTGTGTAGCATGAATTTATGTTATGTAGTCTGAAGTTTGGGTCATTTGATGTTGTTTTTTACTTTAATATAATTAACCTTTTTTTACCATTTAAAGAGGTAGTTAATTTATTCATTTTGAATTTGATATTTGTTTAATTTATGTTTTTTTTCGTGGATGGTCATATGTGAAATCGATGTCAACTTTTTTTTACCATTTAAAGAGGCAGTTAATTTATTCATTTTGAACTTGATATTTGCTTAATTGATGTTTTTTTTTTTTTGCTTTTTTCGTGGGTGGTCATATGTGAGATCGATGCCAGATGCATAGATATAAAGAAAAAGAGATTATGGAGAAAGATAAAGAGAAAGTACAGATAAAAATGGAGAAAGATAAAGAGAAAGCACAGATAAAAATAGACGTAGTGGAGATTAGAGTTGAAAATTGAAACGACTGCCAATTATGAGATAGAGATCTTTGGTGTTTAATTTAAAAATATGTGGGGTAGAGCGCTGTTCTACTCCAAGGTTTCAAGGGATGGTGAGATATTCAAGCCAATTTCATCTTGTGCCAAACTCAAGACCAAATGTCCCTAATAGTTTAATCCTCTTTCTCCCATTAAAAACTTCTAATTGTAATAATTAAAAATTTACATTTCTAGAGTTGTGAAAATGACCCAATTATATGGATCTTACSATTAGTTTGTTTCAGTCTCGTGGGTGGTTTTAAGATATTATTTGAAATTGAGTTGGATCAACTCGTATTCAACGCATTAGATTGTAATTGTGATTGAGTTTAGATTGATCAAAATGAATCAATACATTAAATAATCATCGGTAATTTTTATTATTCTCACAATATTTAAATCATTAAATAATCATTGGTTATAAGGTTTTTGTTAATGATAAAAAAATACACATCCAAGAGTTATTGGGGTTGAGTATGTGAGAGGAGGGAAAATTGGCTAAGAATAATTGAGGGAGGGTGCTTCACATTCTCTTTGGTGTTTTTGAGCATAAGAGGCAAGTCTATTCTTACTATTATTAAAGTAATTATAAAAACTTTTCTCCCTCTGGACTTGTAACAAGACGAGCAAATTCAATAATCATTTCCTCAAATAAAGTGCCACCGAATCTTTCTTCAAACAATTACTCATTCGTCTACTCTCAGATAGGAACTACGCCGTCGTCATACTTTGATAGAGCACACTTACATATTACACTATAACTATATCCTATGAGACTCGCCACTTCTTTGTTCAGCACTCGATGATTCACCGACATAGTTAGGTTTAGACCATGGCTCTAATACCACGACAACGGTACCCCAAGTACCTCGAGCATCTTCACAATGATATGATATTGTCCGCAAGGCCACATAGTTAAAAAAAAATCAACAATTTTTTAAGAATGGATCTTTTAGACTTTCGGGTTGGTGTCAGATCATTTCAAGTAGAGGTGGCCGAAACAGTACAGAGTAGACTTTAATACGCACACGCAGGCCCTTACTATAGGTTTGATTGAAATATCATGTCATCATTTTATCAATCTATTTAGTTCAGGAGAAGAAATTTTAGACTTAGATGTGCACATGCATTTCCATGAAGGGAACTTTGACATTGCCTACTCTAGCTACATCCAAAATACATTGATGAAATAGATATATTTGAGCTATCACTAATACGGAATCTATTTACTCTTTAGCTATCGAAAGGTGCTATGAATACTAAAGAAACAAACAAAAGAAGAATGCTAATAAATTTCATTACCAAATGTCCCACTCTTAGTTGCAACAATCTGTGGGATAGATGCCATGATACTAGATATTGCAAAGGCCAGATTAAGGCGGAAACATTAATTTCTAAAACTTTCGAGTTATGACTTTTAAGGCTCGTCTGGTAAGGTTATCGTTTCCAATTTTCTTAAGAATTCTAAGAATTTTGTAACTAATTTTGTTTCTTGTTTTTTCCTTTTTAGAAACATTCTCACAATTGTATACAAATTCTCGAAACAACCAAAACAAGTTTCTTCTTTCTTGTTACTATTCTCGATTTATCCAAGACATAAATGAAAAGATTGTTTTATCATATTTGAATTCATAGATGTTGGATCCAAGCAATTCATTTTTCCTCGTTAAAAATGAAGAAACAAAACGTTATCAAGCGGACCCTTAGATTTAAATGGATTTGGTTGGATAAATATTGGTTCATGCAAGAAAAAATGTATAAGATTATTGCAGTTGTTATATAATACACATTTGAAATCTTTTTTAAAGACGAGTCATCCCCAAAATGCTTGTTGTTCAGGACTATATTATATTTGCATGACTGTTGTGCTTGTTCAAAACTATATGGGAAGGATTTCTTCCTTCCTACACAAAATCATTTAGTAGTGTTATAAATAAAAGCCATATTTGGCTTAGTGTACCTATTTTATTTTATTTTTGAATACCACACTATTGGTAACGGTGAGAACATCGATTTGAACTTATGACTTATTGGTCGAACATATGTGTGTCTTAATCAAAAACTCAAGTTGGCAAGTAGATTTTAATTTTACTTTTAGGTAAATTCAGTGAATATGCGTTTGTTAGATTTATTTTGAACACTATTTTCATATTCTATGATCTGGAAATTTTGAAAATAATATTTTTATGTTTTCAATGTTTTCAAATTTTGAATTTGACACCTTAAAATGCATGATTATACTAATTCCTAAGTTAGGTGGTTATCATGGTGTTTGAACTCATTCATTCTTAATTAATCTTAGTCAATTTAGACCAGCCACCCATGGATTTTTAAATGAAAAATTAACTATAATAATTTATTCATGTAAAGTTTTTTAAAAATAAAATTAGGTTAAATTATTGATTTATTTTATATGATTTTAAAATTTAAAATTTGGTTGATGTGGTCTGAGTTTAACTTCAATTTATGGCGAAAATTTCAATTTAATCTATATAGTTTTATTAACTCTGTCCGACCACTGCAATCTCTAAGTTATATTTTACCCGCTTGAAAATCCACTCATTTTTTTTTTATAAAGTATTACTTTATCTAGCACGGTAAGTTAAATAGAAAATATCTACCTTATTATTTTGTAAATAGAAAATATGTCACCAATAACTTGATTAAATTTATATAAAAAAAATGATTAAACCATACTAGACAAATTAAAATTTAACGAAGGTGAGCATAACTTACGTTGTCGGATAAAATTGAGAGCGACATATGAACCAATTCCCAAAAACACGAGTCTTTCCCTCCTCAACTCGATAGACCGGTGTAGCATTGAGATCAATTCATCTGGAATTCAACCAAATGACGATTTGGTTGTAAAAAATTCATGTAGCTAGAGAGTATCACAAGTATAGATTTTGACCATCTAGACTTGCCTCTCGAAATCTCTCTCCCATGATAGGTGGAGTCAAACCTTTGAGTTTTACGATATCTACCATTAAACTTCTAGCTCGCCACTTCAACTAGTCATAGACAATATTCTAGAATACTAGTTTGCCTCAAGAATCTCCTCTTCCGTACTCACGCAAACACGTGACCTCGTTCGAAATCCAACATCTAACATTAGTTGAGCAAAATACTATTTACGGTACAAATCTCTACTTTGTTGGTAGTAAAAAACTTAAAACTTTCGTAAGAGGTTTTAAAGTTTAAACAAAAAATAAGTAGAAGAAAACAAAAGAAATACGAAAGTCAGATTAGATGGGATGTAAGCGAAAGTTGTATCTCATAAATTTGTTGCGTGCAAGAAGAGTGGAGCTGAGCTGAGCTGGGGGATGACATCGAAAAGCATGAAAATGGGAGGGAACGGAAGAAAGAGGAGAAATGGCAGAAACCAACAAAAAAATGGGCAGTGGAGAGGAAGTGGAAGAAATGACAGCAATGGCAGAGAAGAGATAAAACCCACATTCTGATTAAGCCCCTCTTAGTCTTCTCCCCCTTTTCGCCTTCTTTCCCTGCTTCTTTCTTGTCTCTATTGCGATTTCTGAGTGGAAAACTTGTACGATTCCTTTTCCTCACTTAACTTTCTGTCGGCCCCCTTTTATGTATTTGTTTATTTACTAACTTTCTGGGTCTGATGAAGACGCCATTATCGTTCTTTCCCCCTTCTTGCCTCTCGCCTCTCTGCACCTGCCATGGGTTTCTCTCCCTCCTCTTCTTGCCTTGCCAATTCCCCCTTATCAATTAAGGTGCGTTTTCTCCAACCCTCTTCTTTAATTTTCAATTGATCTTTCGGTTTATCTCTGTGTGGCTGTTTTGGGTTGATTAGAAATCAGATCTGTGGAGGGTTTCTTCCCACCTGACTCTTAATCTAGTTATGACGGTGAACTGAGTTGTCTTTTGCTTTCTAAATGAGGTTCCAGGTTGCTTTCATGCTTTATTTAGCAGCCATTGGCTCGCCAGATTTTGCCCCTTTCCTTTTCTGCTTATTTAGTTGGAGTTATTTGCAGATGCTTGTTTTGGTGAAGGGATGCTTGTTTTGATGAGTTGGGAATTCACTGACTATAACCATCATTGTGTGAAATCCTGATAACAAGTGGGAATCATACTCTTGGATTAGCTTAAAGTTTTTGTTACTTGTTCTTGCTCATTCATGTTTTTGCTGCACACTTTCCATCGGTTTAATTAGAGATTTAATCATGAACTTTGAATATTGTGTATATTTAGCCCCTAAACGTAAAAACAAAGGCTTCATTATGTCAATGAGTTCTAGATTATGCTTCTATTTAGTATTGGTTGTTAACAGTATTAACAAAACGTTGCCTGACATGCCTATTAGATACATGTTGGTAGATTTTGATTGCTCCCAAATGTTAATATTTATCATGGGAAGAGGGAGGAAGGTGATGGGAAGTGACATAGGGAAATTGTTATTGTGGTTCCCATGACTTAGTTACGCTTACGATATAGTATATCTAATGTGTGAATAAGTATATATTTTGCTTTAGCATGAACTGGAGATACTCATCCTTTATGCTGTGGAATAGGTTTGGCAATAGGAGAGATTCGGGAGCTCTCAATCGCTCCAATCATTAATAATATATGAATTCTATCGTTGACATGATGTGACAGATTGTTAGCTAGACTAATAGATATTCCACGTTTGTGTTTCGCTAACGGTGCTTTTTATAAGCTCGGGTCATCTTCAGAATATGCAGAGAGTTTACTTTTTCATCAGCTTTGGGTCATCTTCAACAGTCAACTTATATTTTACTAATGTGACCATGGTTTCAATTATACTACATCAACGAATGCTTCTTGTTTGATGCTTATGCTCATGGGCACACTTCTCAACACACGTGTTTTCTAAAATTTTTGATTAATCATGGCTTTTTGTTGGCTCTTTCCTCAAACTTTGTCTAGCTATGACTATACTAAACTTGAACACTCTGTCATCGGCTGTATTTGAATATCCAAACTACCAAGTACCACATTTTGTTCTGTGTTAAACGTGACTGTTTGTACCAAGTTTCATGCAACTTAGTCACTGTTAAGTAAATAATTAACCAAGTTTACTATTTACTTATCGGTGTCTTAAGTAGCATGAAATACTTCTGTGACCCTAAAAATGCTTTTCAATCCTGCTTGAATTGTTTAGTTCTTCTGTTTCGTGATTTAAGATTTTTGGCTTAGTTTCCTCACATATTCAACTATGTTTCTTGGAGCTTCCTCATCATGAAAGTTCATCTTCTGTTTAAAACTTGGGGCAGATTACAAAGCCCTGTTGTGATGTCAGAATTGGCCAAAGATCCTCTATCTCTACAAGAAGCCATAAGCCCAATCTTTCAGTTAATGGTTTGACTGCAGATGTGTCATCAAGAAAATGGAGTTTCATTACAGGATCAAGGATTCTTCTTAAACCAAAACTTGCAGGAGTAGATTTGTCCAAGAAAGCCCACGGAGTACACGCTTCATGTAATCTCTTTGCCTTTTGAGCATTTTATTTAAAATTACTGAGTGCCTTTAGAGTTGAATAACTAAAATTATCTCAAGTGAATGGCTGATACTTTGCCTCGACAGTACTGCACATGATTTGTTTCCTCGACAGGAGTGAATTTAGAAGTCAAAGGCATACTAATGCTCGAGCTTCTGCTCCCCTTTTCCTAGTTCCATGAAAACAATGTTTGGCTTGGATGTGTTTAGCATATAGCTAGTGTTCCGTTTGAGCGAAGATCAAACTTTTCTTTCGAGTATGATTGGGTTCTTGTGGTGGTAGAATCTGGTCAACCGGGTGTACTAATTTCCAGCATCTTGTGAACCTTACTTCCCTTATGTTTTTTGCAATTGTCATACTTATTCCTCGCTTTTCGGAGAGTGATAGTAGAGGGTGGGTGTCTTGGATGAGTTCAAGTTTCTCAACGTTTCCTTCTTAACATTTAAGTTCAGTGAGACTTGTTTTCTCAATATACTCTGTCACCACACCTCATTTGGCTGTGTACATTATATTTGAATAACTTCATGTTTGCATTTACAGGGTTGGCAAATGCTCAAATTGCTAGCAATGCTTTTACTCTAGGTACAGTAGCTGTTCTCCCATTTTATGGCCTCATGGTTCTGGCTCCAAAATCAGAATTGGTATGCAAAATTTCATAAATGTACTCATTTTTGTCCATCACTTTTTACATTAGCTCTGGGGTATGTTTACTTATTTATTTTTTCTCTTTGCACTCTTTTTCTTCGATATTTCATCTCGACAAATGGAACTTTTTTTTCCTCTTTATGCAGACTAAGAGGTCTATGCAAAGTAACATACCATATGTGGTGCTTGGGCTTCTATATGCTTATCTTCTGTACCTTTCTTGGACACCCGAAACCGTGCAGCTTATTTTTGCCAGTAAATACTGGCTGCCTGAGGTAAGTTCTTAACAATTTGAGAAATTTGAAGCATCTCGTCTCGTCCCGACCCATCCATTTGTTCTTCAACTCATTGTATGTGGCTCTGTTAATGTATAGCTGCCTGGAATGTCAAAGATGTTCTCCAGTGAAATGACATTGGCTTCTGCTTGGATTCACCTGCTGGTTGTGGACCTTTTTGCTGCAAGGTCTCTCTCTCTCTCATTAGTTGATTCATTTAGTTATTAGGAGCATGTATAACTTATATCTCAAGCCAACATTTTATATATATTAGCTGAGCATGCAATTTGCCTTTGACCTAGTTTCAATGAGTTTTTTTCTTGAACGGAAATTGCTAATGAAATTTGTTAGTAAAACTATAAGTTTGGTACTAGTCCATCTGTACTTACAGATGTAGATTGAACTTTTAATCTTGTATCTAATAGATCTATATCGTTACCTGGTAGATATAAAATTGAAAGTTCTAATAGAAACCCAGTTAGAAACTTTTCATTACCATTTAAGTACCAAATAAAACCAAATTTGTAATTTAACTAAGGATTTTTCAAGAGTGAAAATTTGAGGGTAAAATTGTAACTTTCAAAAGGTTAAAAGGCAGAATTGAATTTAACTACATATTTTAAGGGCATTTTGTATAATTTAGCTTTAAGAGTTTTTCAATCTTTTAATAGCCATCCTCTAAACTTTCCAGGCAGGTGTTCCACGATGGACTCGAGAATCAAATTGAGACCCGACATTCAGTCTCTCTTTGCCTCTTCTTTTGCCCCATAGGAGTTCTCATTCATGTTATCACCAAAGCACTAACCACAAGATCTGGTCCTGCAAAACATGGTACATAACAAGGCAGAGTAGATCAACTAGTGCTTCACCCATCCCTTTGCAATTTGTTATTCTAAGCTCCGATTTGCCGATGCCATCTGAATTTGAAAGTTATGTAACTTTTAGCACAGTATTTGATGCCTAGGAATCTATGTTTGGGTTCAAAGTTCAAACAGATTTCAAAAATCCCAGTTTATAGAGAACTTGAAAAAAGTTCGATTTTGTGTTCCAATTACCATCTACCGTTCTACTGATCCTCAAAAACTGCACCTAGCAGCTGAATCAACGGAAAATCAATCTCTACTACAGATGAGAAAGAAGTGTGCAGTCTAGATTATCAACTTCTGCAAGATCTAGTTATCTTTCCTTCTACTTTAAAAACGTACTACGACAGAATAATTACAGAATGATTAATGAAATCTAGGAAGTTGAGATGCAATAGAAAATTAAAGAATGAACAAAGAGCAAAGGAATTCCATGGTGTGAAAACTGTCATTGGTTTACAGGTTAGTAGGGTTCTAAGTACAGATCAGAAATCCAATAGACACGTAAATTTGAAGCTAAAGTGGATACAAGTTTTGAGAACCTTACATATGGTCAGCGCTAAAATTCGGAAAGAATTGTGAGAGACTGCTTGCAAAGCAGACTGTACAGGGCATGAAGGCGAAAAATGTGATGGGCATTACGCATTTGAGTACGGCACATTTGGCAGCCAAATAAACAAGTGTCACGCCTGATAACAGTAATAAAATTGGGCCAAACCACCATCTCCTGATTACTGTAGGCAACGTTGTGATGTTGAGATCAATAGACCGAAAGGAAATGAGTAAATGGCCACTATATTTGTCAATGATAAATGAAAATCAATCATTTCACTAAAACAGCTGGTCCTCTTGGAGAGTAGTAGTATAAAGCAATCAAATTGACACAACTACTTCTGAAGCTCAAATTCTTTATCGTATATATGAAAGCAATTATTAACAAACTGCTAATATAATATTAAAACAAATATAGGTCAGCGTAGTATGAACATACATCAAGTTGGAAGTGATGGAATCTGATCTTGGTCGTCCAATAAACCATTTGATGTATCAGAATTGCGAGAAGAATCTTTTCTGCTGCGGTCTAAAGAAGTTGCTTCATGTATCCCTACAGACATTCGCATTTGGTATTATTTGTCAATCCAATTGAAGAACTATGAAGATTGGAGAATGAAAGGAGACGGTGATGCCTAATTTCATCTGTTTCCCTGTACAGATTCGGTTAGTAATAAACAAAATGGTTGAAAGCTTGATCATACCAAACCCCAAAATTGAGCAGCAGATAATGAAGCCGATTAGAGAAAAATCCATCTTGTATAAAATCTCCAGTGCAATTATGCTTCCACCAGCCACCATCAAATGCCTTGGAGAAGAAAAAACCATGTGCAATCTACAAGTAAACAAGAGTTGTCATGTAAGAATCCCCTTTTTGAGAGTCCGCCAAATGAACGAAACTGATGGGTAATAATATGTAATGCAATGCAAAAATTAAATTCTACAAGTTTTAGCTGACTGTATGAGACAAAGTATAGTTTTCAGATAAAGACAGCACATACACAGCCAATCGAACCACCAACCATCACATGAATTTTGACATTTTTCTCAGAGCATGCCAATTTTTACAAATTACAGTTATGTCACACAGATTGCTAATGTAGTAAAAACACTATCTCCCTTTATAGAAAATATTATTTATCAATACTGATGCGAGCAAAATCACGAAGGAATCCATCTTCATTCCAAAATGTAAAAGGCTCTTCTTAGAAAGATCGTAGACACAAACACCAGCTACACCACTCATCTCACAATCCATCCTCATTAGTAATTAGCTATTTTCATATTTGGAGGTTATAATCCTTCAGCTTGGTGCAAGAATGAAACATGTCAACATGCCAAGTACAGAAAGAGAGGAGAATGGGGGGGAACAAATACTGAACATTTCTTCATGAGAATCCCAATTATTTTGATTTATATTGTACCTCTCTTCAGCAATGCTGTCAACGTAAAATATCAGAATAACACCAAAAAGTATAGTGCTTAAAAATGCCCAGGTGGAGAAAGGAAGCTCTCTGCTGTTATCAGAAGTTGACCCCTGAAGTTATGATAATGAAGAAAAATCAAGCACTACTACTTCAGGAAAAAGAGCATTCATTAAATATTGCTGAAACTTACAATTATCATATCCCACATGGCTATAGGAAAGAGAAAACAAGTTGCAGAAGCCATTGTTATGGCATGAAGTCGTCTTTTAAGTTGATTCTGAAGGCGCATTGTAACAAGAATCACATATCAGAATGCCATTGGTAGCTTACATAACAAAAAGAAGGATATTAAGTGAACTCAATATTAGTCAACACCTTAAGTGAAACGCGGCGAGCAATGACCCTTCTCAATGCTGATAATATTCCAGCAAAGATGGGAATTGTCATTGCTTTCATACCCAACACTTGTTCAGTCTGATCCTCAGAGACAGAGCCATCTTTCGCAGGTAGTCTCAAATTAAAGTTTACAACAATTTTGATATAGAAATGAAAATACAGAAAGATTTAAAGAAAGAGGGGAAAATAAAATAACATTAAATTTATAAATAAAGAAAAAGAAAACCATCAGAGGGTCACAACTCTCACAGCAGCCCCTTCCTTCATACTTACACAGTTACAGTTGAACTTTCAAGGATATAGAAGGGAAAACGTGTGGCCATGGCCCACCCTTGTGATAAGAAGTAGAAAGATACCAACATTGCAAGGAGACCGGCAGCCTGATATGATATACCAAAGGGAATCAATTATTCATCTAGAACCTAAATAACCTACCATAACAAGTGTAAACCTCTCAACTTAAATTGCAAGCCTAATTCATGATAAAATTAGAAGAAGAAGAATTCAGATAAAGCAAGACTACTACAAGATACATACATTTACTCCCTACAACCTGCCTGCTGTAGATATAGGGATGACATGATAATAAAAAACTAACAATGTCGGCATAACCTTTAAGAACTTAAATTAAATTGTCGAAGCCCTAACTTCTATGCTACTTCTGACAGTATTAAACAAATACAAAGAAGCCCAAGAATACGCATGTATATTAAAACTACCTTTTTCCAAACAAAGCCCCTCCGACCATACAAAACAGCAGAAAGCACTCCAAGGACAGCACCAGAATACTCCACAAGTATAGCCCTAAAATAGAAATTTTAAAAATAAAAAAGACAATAAATAAATGGACCACATGGACCGAAGGCAAGAGAAAAGCAACAAGGCACTTATAGATACTCCCATTGCATCCTTTTATAAGTTTCTAAATCACTGTCCACATGAGCTCTCAATGACTCATGGTACCAGATAGAAATACACAGTGGTCTGTTCATTTTTTTAAATTCAAAAACAAAAATCTATTGATAGAATGTAGTGTATAAAAAAAGGGAAAAAAAGAATAGGTAACAGATAAGAAACCCTCAAAACATAAAATAAATAATTCCAACTACACAGACTAGCAAAAGCGAAGGTCTACTGATTTGACATTTCTACGCCAAAGAATTAGAGAATGAAAGAATCAAATACATGCCTTGAAGGAAGAACGAAAGAACATCAAATTCATATAAAAGTATGAACCAGAATGTTTTGCACACTGACAATGAAGAATATATTATTCAAAGACTAATAAATCACACTTGCACATACTATGCCAAGAAGGAGATGAAGAATAATAAGGTAAAGTCTCTTCTATTGTTACAGGTATTGAACCTTCTTTCCATTGCGAATTTTCAAAGAGGTTCAGTTAAACCAAACAACATCATGAAAATAAAAAACAAAGGTTCTGAATAAACAGATGAGAATTTAATAAGAAGATTTACTTAAAACAGTTGATTTCCCAAAGGGCAAAACTTTAAGATGAACTGTTCTGGTGGGGTAAGAATCTGAATAGTATTTATTATCCGATCCTTCTTAATCTATTAACAACTTGTAGTTCTAGCATTTCAATCTAACAATGAGGTTAAATTATCTAAAAACATGGTTACCTAGAGCCATATGCTGAAAATTGAAACAAACTCTTGATCAATCTATAAGGTTATGACATGGAATATAAACTATCTTATTAAAAAGTGTGATTAGATTTATATTCATCTAGATTAAATAGAATTTTTGGGGCTGTTTCCCATGAAAAATTTGAGTCCGTGAGGTGAATCTGACGTAGTTAAGTAGCTCTTCATAGCTTTTCTCGATTATTAGCTACCACATCAGAATCCATGCATGATTCATGTATGTGCCAAAATGAAAGAGCAAAGGGTACATATTTCTACAGGCACCCACCTCAGAGGTCCACATGCCTTAAGGCCCTTTCCCCACATGATAAAGTATAAAGCTGTTATGCCACCATTTATCACAGAAGGAACTACCTAAAAAAGCAAGTTAGATCTAAGAAAAAGCTGATGAAATAATAGTATGAGAGGTTATAACATTTGGTTCTTACAGCTAAATTTTCCACTTCACCTGAGTATTTGAAAGGGGTTTTCCCTTCCAAGGCTTTTGCAAAGTCAAGAATATGATGGCTGCTGGGGCCAAACAACAAAAGAGAAAAAGTACAACTGAAGCTCCAGTCTGGGAAAAATAGCGATACATGGAATAGATTGACCATATCCGAAAGAAATTTCCAACTACATGGACTATCTGCAACGGTGTATGCCTGCAAGAAGGTCAACTCACCAGCATGAAATAACAATCATACACAAAGATAGCATAAACGAGCTGGCTGCCTATTGAATCGATGGAGCTGTACAGAACTGTTTTGCCAACAGTTTGTACACCAATGTTTGCCAGAAGTTGATAGTGTTGAATACAGGAAAGGGAAAACAAGTATTGAACACTGATTTTCCTCATTAACTAAATTGGACGAATAAGACTAATGTAATCTTTTCGCGCAAGTGATTTCATCTCTTCCCAATTCATCATAGCCCCTTCCCACCAATAAATTTTCAATAAAACTTGAAGTACATTTACAGTGTTGGCCATTCAAGCTCCTTCGAACTGGTGAGAAGATCAATTACAACAACCTGCATTGTCCCTGACTACGGACAAATCCCCCCCGAGCAGAAACTTCCCATTTTCGGACGTAGCGGAAATCGAAAGATTCAGAAATTTTCAATTTCCATCCCCATCCCCGAGAAGCAAGGAATTAACAAATTATAGGTAGAAAACCTGAAATGAATCGAGGATCCTCGATCCTCAGACATCGGCCTTGGTGACATCATTTTTCCGAAGGTGACCGCCGGTGAATCGGCGCCGTCGACAGAGGAGGAACAGCGAGCAAATTAAGAACAGGTCGATTGAGAAACGATGGAGTTTAATGGTCGCATTCGGCTCCGGCACCACCGTCTTGTGCTTCGGTCCACTGAGCTTCTCTTCTTCAGCAAGAAGACCGACGATTCTCTCTCTCTCCATTTCAACTGGGCCGCGTTTGGGCCGTACCAAAGCCCAATAGCTAGGAATTCGTTGGTTTGGTTAAAGGAAAAATAATAGTAATAATAAATTAAAATAATAATTTCATGTCATCGAATTGTGATCAATCAAGAGTGAGTTATATAGGGTACATATTGAATGAAAATAGCGTAAGTATATATTGTGAATGTATATATAGAATTAGTTATATATCGTATAATCTTATTGAAAGGTATATACAAAATATTATATAGTTTTTCAAAAGGTATATATCAATTAACCTACGTTAATCATACATCATGACAGGTATATGTAGGTATTAATATATCAAATATATGATATATGAAACGACTCGTATTGTCTATATCGTTGAGCTTGACGTTAGCGCAAGAGTAGAAGACTTTGACGCCCTTCCTTTCATATTTTCTAACAACCGTTGCCTACAATAATCAATAACTATGAAAAAATATCCCAAAAACTCAAATAATAGCTATTAGTATGGTATATGCCACATATACTATATTTCTAGTCGGTATATATTGGGTACATATAATTTGTAATATTAGATAATACTTCAATAGTACTATTTTTTATGAAGTGTATTTTGGGAATATGCTGCATGAACTTTTGTAATATTAAATCATACTTCTACGATATTATTTTGTAGATAGCTTATAGTATTGTAAATTAATGAAATTACTAATATGAAGTAGTTTTTAGGTATATGCTGCATATATATCATAATAAATATATATAATTATATAATCTAATACTTTATCATATACCAATAAAAGGTATATATTATATTGGTTAAAAAAGAAAAGGTCATGTAGATTGGATTAAAAAGTATATAAAGTAAATAATTATTGTTGGAAAAAAGAATTACAATCGGAAAGGGAAATTAATCCGCCAATAAATTATGGATTGTCGGAAAGAATAATAGTAACTTGAAAAAAAAAAAAAAGTGGTTGAAAAATGGAAATAAATCGTCGAAAAAGGGACGAGTCCTTGGAAAATTAGAAAAGACCCCTAAACTAGTGAACTAATGTCGTCATAATTATTTAAAAATGGGAAGGAAAATAACCCTAGAAATATAAAGATTGAACGAAACTGCCGCCGTAGCTTGAAAGAAAGCTTGAGCTTGGATGAAAATGGAGATTTCGTGATTTATTTAGGAAATTTAGAAACAATATTCAATTTAAGCAATTAAAATACAAAATAAAGGTTATTCAGCGACAAATATTTAGCACTTAATACAAACTTTTAATAAGAATTACAAAGTATAATATTAAGTGATAATCAGAAATAAAATTTTTAAAAATTATATAGTAAATGTAAAATATGGAGCACTCGTTAAGGGAAATTTGAGGACAAAACTAGATTGTTAAATATTTAAAATAATGGACATTTGTGAAATATAATTTGACTTAATTTAATATTTTCTATTAACTATATAATTAAAGTCTCCTTTAATAACCATTATGTTTTTAATTTTTATTATTTTCAAAATTATACTTGTTTCCAACCATTTTTGGTATATTTATCACATTCTTTTAAATATATTAGAATGTCAAAACGAGCATAATTCAACAATAATTGATATATATCTCTAATAAGGGGTAAAAAATATTTGAATTCTTAACTAAATTTAAAAAATACAAAAAATCTTTATAAAATAAAAGTTACTATTTTTATTTTACATTTTTAAATTATGAAAATATTTTAAAGATTAGATAACAAAATGAAATAGCTATGAGTAGGAGTCCAAGAACACGTTTAATTGCTAATATGATAGCCGATCATAGTTGAGTAAGGATTTTAGGTGGGTCCAAAGTGAAATTGGAGATTTAAACTTTCAACTAGATATTGTTGGTAACTAGAGACGGTCGGTGCCTAAATAAATTAGATTATGTTTTTTTTTTTCACCTTTTACTCATTAATTCTTAGGTGTTTTTTTTTTCTCCCCTAGTTAGAATTTTCAAACTCAATGACATAACAAATAACAAATACTGCCTTGACCTACATCTAAAGATGAACATAGTTAAACTATAGAAAATACTTTATGCAAAAAGTCATAATTTTTCAATATACTATTTTGTTCAAAGGATTTAACAGAATTCTAAGCCAATTTGAGCGTAGTTCCATCAACGACTTTTCAAAGAGAAAAAAGAAATCGGTGTTTCGCTCCATGCAACTCTTTCACTATGAACCAAATCTCAATCCCGAAAGAGATTTTGGCACTTGTGGGAAAACAGAAAGAAGAAAAGGAAAAAAAATTTTAGAGAAGAAACCATCCGAAGATTTCAGCATTATTGTTCTTTCCATACAGAATCAGATATGCCCATTTTCGAGCTTCCACCACGACCTCATACCCATCTCATATGATGGAATCAAATGATTGGTACAGATTTTTAGAGGATTCTACAATGGCGATCGGCAAATGATACCGATACACCATTCTGCTGTGTCCTCGTGTCGCCATGGTAAGCCCCCATCACTGAACACCACATCTTCGTATGCAATGTATTCGATGAAATGCCCCAATGACTGTTCCCCCCACTGTTTTTCCATTCCCTTTAATCAAGCCATGGCCATCGGATCTTTTGCCAATCGTTTGTCCGTAGGGCCGATTCGGTTAGCCCCCAATTATAATTTCTGTCTGTTTTCTTTTGTTCTTGTTCAATTTATTTGTGGGGTCTTCCATAATTTTTTCCTCTGTTCTTCATAGCTGGTGGTCGTCCTTCAACCACCAGTATATGATACATCCTCCTCCTTGCCTGAAGGAGAGAGCCGTTTGGATTTTGGAGAAGGATGGGGTGTGAAATAAAAGTGGATTTTAGAGAGTATCTGGTTTGGTCCACACCCTATGATTTGGACGTACTGTGAGACGTCCCTGATGAAGTCTGCAGTGCCTGGTTGTTAGCAGACAGGCCTGTTAATCATGTAAAAGCATGATGATCTTATTTATTGTGGGTTTGATTTATTTGGTTTTCTAAGGTTTTCTTTTCCTTATTTATTTTTGGAGCTTTGGAATAACCATTGAAGGGTGGAAGGTAGGTAATCATTTGCTGGGTCAAGACATGGCTTGAGTTTAAGCTTACAAGGGACAGTGCAATTAAGAACCATTTATTTGCATATTATATTCTTCATATGCTTTAACGTTGTTCTTTTTTCTTTTTTGTTTTCTTTTCCCTTCCTTCTAATATTTGTGAGACTCCGGGACAATTAAGAACACCTCGATTGATCACATGGAATCACATGATCCTACTACAATTAGTTTTCAAACTTTGAGGATTTTGTATGTTAGGTAGGTGGCCGTTACAGTTTGAAGTATTTCCTCTAAGTTCTTTACTTTTCACTTGTCCCAATAGCCACTACGCCAACCTAGGGTGGGTACTCTGCTTTTGTATTTTAGGCCATATTCTATATTTTATGTGTTCTTTTCTGGCCACAAAACTTCCACTCTTGTTTCACAATGTTTTTATCTTTTGGAAAGTTTGTTGAGTTGTGCATGAGTTATCATGGGACAAATGAAAATAACATAGCGAGAACATCGTGGATCAATTTTGCCTCGATTGTTGCCCAACACATCTATAAACGTAATCTGTTCTTTCTTTACTCATATCACTCCAAAAGTAAAAGCTATGGACATAATATCTTCTAAAAGTAAGGCTCTTTCGGCTCACACAATCTTTGTGAAGTACACTGAATTTAGTGGTGGATCATTTGGGAAGACGGAAGATTAACTCTTAGTATTAAGACTAAAGTACTGCACCTAAAAGTATGAGAATTGGTTAAGTGTATTTCTGAATTGAAGACCATTCAATGTCTCAACATATAATAATTATTCAAGATCAAGACACGCTACAAAAATTTATGATATTTGTCTTTATCAATACAAGTCAACTGTTTTTCTCAATTGAGTTATCTCTAAATTGACTTAAGTGGCACTAGAGATACAAATAATTCTTCTTTTTTTTTTTTAGAACCGGAAGTCGGAGCTTTGCCCTTATACCCAGGGGCACCCGCGTCTGCCCCAAGGCCGTATACAACTAATTCTCTGTTATACACATGCATGATTATTGGGAAATCCAAATCACAAAGTGATACAATCCAAGGAAATTGGTACTCTTGACTTAGCTATACTAATGTAGCATACTATTTAATGTATTTAGCTTGTGTTCAGTAAGTTCTTGTTCTTCACTTTTGCCATGTCTTGACTAAACCTTCTTTTTACTTAACGGACATCTTTACATTAAACCATCACTTTTAATCAATCTCATGATAAAATCCTGTTCTGCATAGTTTCCTTTAGCGTTTGAAAATATTTCTGGTTTCATGTTTATTTATTTATCTGTATTGATCCGCATTTAATAATTTTGTGATCGTTGAGTCAATAACCATCATTGCAACTTTCACCATTGGAAAAACAGAATATAGGAGGCATTAGATAATGTAGTTACCTTCCATTTGATCGTTTTAGAGTTTTAAAGAGCCCATTCTTTTGTCTGAAGACAAAAAATGGCAGTGCAATGTTGAAAGAGAGAATCACAGTCTCTCAAGCATCAGAAATGTCGAATTTGACCAGATGTCATTCCATCAGCTGTTTCAACCAGTAGACATACATGATTTACAGACAAGATAGCAAAATCCCATCAAGAAGCTGTTAAAAAGCCCAGACCGACCCGACATTGACAATATTAGGTATTTGGTTGTACTGTTCTACTATCTGCAATTTACAGTAGGTAGGTGTAAAATCGATACATCACTCTCTGGTAGTTTTGTTTTCAGCGTTTTGTGGACTTGTGCAAAAAACACTATCTTGTTTGCCTAGAGAGAAAGTGAATATAGGAAGCAAATTCATGTGATTTGTGACAACAGATAACTAATGCCCCATTTGCAGTCAAAAGGGCTACCCAAGTGGAAGCAACTGTGCTCTCTTTATCATTTCCTCATCTGTTTCTCCATCTCCTGTTCCTCATGTGATCTTGTCCCCTGCAGCATTATGCTTAAACCTTAAACATCAATATTTCAACACTAATGAATAAAGAAAGCACCAATATGGATTCCATACTTAGCAACTAATTTATTTTATGCCATTTTATTGCTTGGGAATCTAGCCTTGTCCAGCTGAACCAGCTTAGTTGATCCACCATTTTCCTAAAATATTAATGTTAAAATAAGTCTAGACAAAAAATTATTTTTAATACTTCTCCTTTTTTAGGCAACCTCACTCCTAGCCAATCAACACCACATATTTTTGGTTATCTATCGACATCCTCTTGACATCCTTCTCCTCTTCTTTCCCTCCTTCCTCTCCTTTGTTGAAGGAACGTTTTAAATTCTCCTTGAAGTCTCTAACTTTTTACAGAGATTATCCAGTGGTACCAGTGGAGGAGAGAAACACGATTGGTAGATGATGGTTGTATTTCTTGGGTAATGAGTAAAGGCACGAAGCAAAAAGGTGAGGCGAGTGAAGAACATGTGTGAACTGAAATAAATAAGGGTATATAAGTTTCTCTAGTTCTTTTCATTCTCCTAGTCATACTTCTATCTTTGTCAAAAAGGAAGTAACTTTGCCAAAAAAAAAAAAAAGAAAAGAAAAAAGAAAAAAGGAAGTAACTTTCTCCCGCCCTTCCATAAAATGGACTTCTAAATAAATCAAGTTGAATTAGGCACTCATTTACCCAACAGTTTCAATAGTAGAAAATAAAATGTCAAAAGTTAATAATCTTTTGTGAAGTTGTTGGAGTACCAAAGCTTTTCTGATAGCTCCCACGCCAAAATTTATGCCTAGAGATGAACATGCAGCTGCAAGCTCCATTGAGAGAAACTGAATTTAGGAACAAAGCAAATATAGATCAGTGCTATAAGATGAAAACATTATAAATTCTTATGACAATTTTTTTCATTCTCCACCTCACCTCAACCTGATTCTGTAGTGAATGAACGTAATTGATAGTCTCATCCAACACCATTGCCATACCCATTGTCTGTAAAAAATGATGGAAGTTTTATTTGAACTTGGGACTCCAATGTTTTGGTAAACAGGACCAGAGTCCAGGAAAGGAAATTACCTTGTGGCAACCTGGAATAAGGTTTTGCAAGCATTTTAATTTGTTGTTGATTTTCTCTCTTCTCACCTGAAATATAGAAAGATCATTTTAGTATTGGATTCTTCATTTCATGATTTTCTTTATAGGGGACCAGTACATTAATCCATAAAACAGATTATATTTAGGAAGAAACATTATATAATTCAGTAAGATACCCTTTCCGCTAAACTGTGACTATCTGTAGCTTGACCTCTTTTTGCTCTAACGTGAACTACTTCTGCAGGCTTTTTTGGTTCTTTCTCACAGTTCCTTCTTTTCCTTCCTCCTCTTAAGTTCTGGGTGAACAAAGAAACAATAAGAACGCACATCTAATAGTCATGGAGAGAGAAAGTAAAGTTTAAACCAAATAGACAGAATTTGATGAAGAATTGAGACTTGCTTTCAAATTCCTAGCATTACTACTGTCGTTTCCAAAAGCTGCACAAGGGGTTTCTGAGCTGCTTTCTGATACTTGCTTTGCTTTTATCTTCATGGTTTTTTGAGCCTTATCTACCATCAGACTGCTTCGAGTTATTGCCGGAAACTCGTTCTGACATTTCACTAGAGTAACACAAGGAAAATCGGAAGTCAAGCTTGGCGTTGCATTTTCTGGTAACTGGAAATTGTAACCCAAGAAGTTTTCCACTGAGAACTCTGTTTCATTGAGACCCTCTAACATGCTCTCTGTCATATTAGAGAACTGGTTTATGACTTCCATATTCAAACCCCTTTCTTCAGATGATGCTTTGGACGACTCAAAGTGATGCAGGTCTTGTCTAAACTCTGTCATGACTTTGTTTCTCAAAGCTTGCTGGCCTAACTATTTATATGAATCATTTAAATTGAACTGGCCAATAAAAATCATACATTTACCGTTTGGACGTGGATGTAATTTATGTTTTCCTTCAAAATTAAGTAAATGAAGATCATTGCTAGATAGCTAGCACCTGTGATCTGCCTCACTGGTCACAACCTCATTTTCTGATGTTGAAACTCGCTGATAAGTAGGGTCCATGATAAGGATATACATGTTATCCAATATGTATAGGCATATGTAAGCATCTATGATTGGATTGATTTTCTATTGTTTGTGGAAATAGAGTGAGATTGATCAAGATTTTAGTGTAAAGAGGGATAAAGCCATAAAGAGGAAAAATTAAGATAAGTATACAGATCTTGTTTATCTCGAATCTTCTTTTGTATGTCTTAACCTTTTCCAACCATGGCTGCTTTCATATTTTACCCTTCCTCCTTTCTTGAAATACTTTAAAAAACGAACAGAAGCTCTCTTTTGAGAAGGCTAACTAGATTACTGATGAAGTGAAACAGAAGCTTGCAGGTAATCCTTAAATTTTCAGAAAATTTCCTACCATTCTGATAATTGTCCAAATGATTCTAGGACAGAACATATTGGATGTATTAAATTTCTTGGAACTGGTTGGATGATTAGTGCCTGTTCTTGAAATGAAAATGATGGAAATAACATTGTTGGCTCACAACTACTATTGATTGTGATGTGAAGCACCAAAACGAGCTGAAGAGAAGTCACTTTCTTGAAACAGATTTTGCATGCATGATTGTAGCTACTCACTGATAAGTTTCTATTTTTAAGAAAACCATTTTATTATTACTATTATTATTTTTTTTTTTTGTGGTTATATGTTTAATAAATACATATCTGACATCTGTCTTAGATAAAGTTTGATGAATAGTTGTGTAAACTGGTGTGAAGTCTATGAAGTAAGTGCTAACTTTTAGAATCTGAGTTTGATTTGGAGGTAGATGAAGTTGGATGAGTCTTGTCCTTCCTAAGGTTTGTAGATGTGTGTTGAAAATGTCATTTGTCCTTTGCTGTTAAAGATTTTGAATAAGAACAACAAAATTTAAAAATATCTTTGTACTCTCTGTATTCTTGAATCTGAAGTCACAATCACCACTGTCATTTTTTCTTTTTTGAATGTTAGAAGGCCTTTACTTTGGAAATTGTCATAAATGCTTTATTTTCGCCCATCCCAATTAGCTTCTATAATGGAACGGATGACCAGCAAGTTTGTGTTTGGTAAAATCTGGTCATCTTGTTACTTGTCATAACCATTTTCATAACTTTGGTTTTCATGTGGGGCTCTATCTTACATGAAAGGACTTGAAAGTGTGAGCAAGGAAAGCAAATTTCCTCTCGGCTCTCGAAGCATATGCAACTTTGTTCATCGAATGCTTAGTTTAGGATCGGTAACAGCGGATTTTGCAAGGAGCTGCTGGTGTGTTCATAAAAGATGCTGATGGAGAAATATAACTGTTGCAACTAAAAGTTTCTATGCCCCTTGTAGGAATGATCTAAGCTCTGCATGTGCATGGTTTTGAACTTTTGAGTGTCCTCTTCGGACCTTTTTTTTTAATCTCTGTTGTTGCATTTTTCTTTGTTCTTCTGCCGTAACTCTTTCTAAACACAATTGAATGTCATTTTTTTCATCTCTTTCGATTGCTCGAAACAAAATTTATTCAAAAGTTCGATCATAAACTATTCTTGTATTTTGTTCAAAAAGCATCTCAAGTAGGTGTGGCATTTTTCGGTTGCTTTCATTTCCAATAATATATGTGAAATCATAAGCAAAGCTAAGAATCCAAACTTAAACCCGTTTTAGAGTTCATAAAACAATTCTTTTAGAAGAGAGAAGTTAACAATTATGAGTTATAATCTCACTTATTTATATTGTTAAGCAAAAAATAAATAAGGGACAAAATTGAAAGTTACTTAAACAATTCAAGTAATTAATTATTTGGAATATGGGTTCTACTGCCTAATTTTTATTTACTTATTTTTCCCCCTCTCTATTTTTTTTTCTTTTTTTATTTCTTTCCAGCATTCCTTTAAGTTCATGGGTTTGATCCCATAGAATTTTGACCCATTTTCCCATTGAACGAAAGGGATTTTTTTTTGATCAAAAGTACTATCTAAAATCTTCATTTTTTCCCCTCTTTCCCTATCCCTATCCCACAGTACAGTGTTTGAATCAATAGAGAATCTTTTATTATGTATCTATATGAATCTTTATGGGAACATCACACATTGATCAATCAAAGGGAGCATCATTGGAATTTAATTCCCTTCGCATGTCGGAACAATTTTTTAAAATCAATTTTTTTTAAAAGGTTGGAGGTTCAATCTCCCATCTCCATATCTATTGTACCAAACTAAAAAAAATGGTTAAGTTACCAATTTAGTCCATAATATGACAGTAATATTGTAATAGGTCATTGAACTTTAAGAAATGTCTAATAAATATCTAAATTTTGTATTTTGTATTTTATTGATATATATACTTTTAAAAATGTCTAATAAATCATAGACCTGTTATACAAATAAAATAAAATAAGATAAAAATTGATAGTTCAAATACTAAGCTTATATTTTATCCCCCAAAATTATAAAGAATTTTTCCGTAATCATCTTGTTAATTGTCACAAAAATGATGTGCTATCGTTGTAGGTTCCCCTATGAAATATATAGGATACGGAGGAATTTTAGTATTTTTATTTTTATCTTTTTAATACAACAAGTTGAGAAGGAGATTCAAACTCACGACCTCTTTGTTAAAGATATATGTCAATTACCGCTGAGTTATTCTTGTTTTGACGAATGAATTTTAGTTTTGATTGTTCCTCGCGGGTAAGAATCACTCGAAATGAAAATTTTTGTTATTAAGCCCCCTTCTCAAATCTATGCAAATTGTGATAGAAAGCTATATTTAAAGGTAAGAAGTTGCTCACGTTTGGGGTCTAAGTAGTTATAGTTGCGTGGTTTTTTGGGCGCTACGGTGCTAAGTATTGTGCATGCCCAATAACTTGGCACTTCACATATGCACCTTATTTAGACTGTTCAATATCTATGCATTTTGAAGTTCTCTCATATTTGATTTGAAATTCATCAATTAAGTGAATTATCAGAAATTTAGAGATGTGAAAAATCATGTAAGAGGGGAAAGTTTTCAATTTCTTTTCTAGATTTCCAGGAAATAGGTAAAAGTTTTGAGTTTTTTTCCTCTCAATAACATTTTTTTCTCTTCTAAATTTTCCCTGAGTATATGTCATGTAAGTTTACCGTAGTCAATTTTAACATTCACCAGTTAAAAAAATGTTAAAATCCAAGTGATTAAATTAAAACCTTTTAAATAATAGGACTAGATTAAGAAAAGATTCAAATATTATAGACGAAAACATATATTTAATCTATTACAAAATATATGGAATTTAATCCATCATGGGCCTTCCACGTGAGGAGCCAGCCCAAAGAAAGTCATCCTCAACTATCTCCCATTTACTCACCCTTCTATTAATGTTAAAAAAAGAAAAAAAAAACAATTGGAGTGGAAAATATTCAAATTTTATTCTTGCCAAATGATTATGAGAATATCAAATGGAGGATTCTATTAATTATAGCTTCCTCAAAACCAACAATGATAAGAAAAATTTTAGAGACCATAGATCTAAAATACAAAGAAACTCAACGAATTAGCTCTAAAAGCACTCTAAATTCAACTTTTTATGATGGAGTAGATTTAAGAGTTGTTTTTTAGCTAAAGTATCTGCCTCTTTCGTTCAATGATCTACTAACATGCAACAAGAATTATGGCTACTTCATTTTAAAATAGTTTAGAATTTATGCAATGTAATAATATTAGTTTCCAAATTCGATGAAGCTTGCGTTGTCCAAGTTTGGATAGAAGAACACATGTACTATAATCGTACTATTATTTTTTTTAGTACAACATGTGGGGTAAGAGATCGAACTCACAAACTCATGGTGAAGGTATATGTTAATTACCGCTGAACTATGTCTACCTTAACTCATTATATTGTTCATCACATAGAAATCTTTATCATAATTTGATTTCATTAAATCTAGTTACAATGCTAACAAAAAATAATAAAAAATAAAAAATAAAACAAGTGGGCAATGAAAAAATATATATATATATTTTTTTTGCAAAGGAATGAAAATATAGTACTGGTAGTTAACAATACTACCAATGAGGAAAATGACATGGAAAATGCCAAGGGAAAGAAGTGTGTGCCCATGGACCATCTATCACTTTGGTGGGAATAAATAACCAAACTATTATTAAAAAAAAAAACTATTCAATCTTCTAACATTGAAAATTAATTAATTACTTTGTTCTGCTTTGGTTTATGTACTTATTGGAATTAATTTAATAATTAATTCATATGTGGGTAATAAATTAAAGAACAATTATATTTGAGCTATTTAATTAGTATAGGAGTGATCTTGATTATAGGCTCATGACTTTCCATTTAGGTGTGGCTTCCTGGGTAGAAACGAACTCATTAATCTTAGGGATTATCGGAAACCCTATGATTAACTTATAAATTTATGATTATGGTTCCAATACACTATGCTTCTTGAGCCTCTGTTTTCCATCAAAAGTATTACCCATATTTGGTCTGGATTGCATAGTCGAGTAAGATCACAAACCACAGTTTCATGGTAGTTCATGGTCAATCTACCTAATGCTTCCAGGTAATTCTGATCTCTTTATAGATTTTGGTTTTCTTCCATGCTTAGATACTTAATCTTGATTGTTTTGGAATTTTATGACTTCTAGAATAATTATGAATTAATATTTCTTTAATTTTTCCAACTCTACTTTAAAAATATCTATTTTAGTATCTATACTTTCAACTTTTGTTCATCTTGGTTCATTTATTTTTATCTTTTTCTCATTTATTTCAATCATGATTCTAGCATGACATTTCACTCATTAAATTTGTGTTAAAATTTTGAAACTAAGAACAAAATTGATCAGTTTTTAAAAGTAGTTAGATAGATCATATATGTCAATTACTACTGAGATATGCTCACTTTGACGACCAAAATAGTATTTAAACCTTAAAATTAATTATACTCAATAACCATATCTAAAACTATTTTCTAAATCTGAGAACTAAAGTGTTACTTTTCAAACCACTAAATATGAATCAAGACTGATTGATCAAAAATATATTTTTTAAGCTTTAAATATGTTAAAACATCCACACATTTGTTGTGTTGTTTACTTTCTTATAATATATCATTATGAATTATAATATTTTCTATTTCGTGAACTATCACCTCTCTTCAAATCACAATCAATATTCAATACCACATGGAAAAAAATAGATCATGAAATGATGAAAAGAGACAAGGGGACATCTTCATTATCTCACTCAAATTAAAAATTAAAAAAAAAGGTAATTGCAAAAGATACTTTCCAATTTATAAAATAGTATCTTTTATCTAAAGAATTAAAATTTCATGATTTTCCTAAAATTTGACATGACTGGATGAATCTTTTCTCATCCATTAAAATATTATAGGTTTTCAAAACGTTTATTTTAAGTCATGTGGTATTTCACTTTTATTCATTTTAATTTTTTGGTTTCGAAATATTATATTTTGAAAGTATATGAATAAAAATAAATTAAAATCGAAAATACTGTGACTAATAAAATATTTCAACCTTTAAAAAAAATTACCAAAAACAAACATAAGAGTAACTTTTGTAATTTAGTTGGACAAAAATATACTTCACATCTTATTAAAAAAAAAAACATATATCATAAAGAATGATGAGGATAAGACTCTGAATCCGTTCATAGAATGGATAAAATCTGTCATTTTCATTTCTTTTTAATTTTTAATGTAATATCACAGAAGAAGGTTTAAATCTACCAAAATTAACGCTTCAACCAATTAAATCATATTTAGGTCAATATAATATATAATTTGTTTATGAAATAATAACTTTTTAGTTAAATTAAAACTTCAATTCATTCCCTATTTAATCCATGCACAATATTTTCAATAGATCTTTGAATTCTTTTATACTTTTAAAAAGTTTTTAAAAGAGTTGTAAATTTTCAATTTTTGTCTAATAAACTTTTATCGTTAATTCAATCAATAGTTATATTCACACAAACTATATATTATTCAAGAAAATTACCTAACGAGTTAGACTATAAATATAATGACATATAAATAGTAAACAAACATAACTGTATTAAACACAAAATTAAAATTACATGAACTTATTGTAATTATTTTAAAATTTGGAAACTAAACAGATATAACTAGACTTATATTAGAGTATAAACATTAAATAAATACAATTTTGGAATTTCAAGAACTAAAATTATTATTTAATATTTCTTTAATAATATAACTACAAATATACGATGATAAAGATTTGACGGATTACTTTACCTACCTTAATCAATTAAGTTACATCTAACATAAGATAAGAAAGTTGATTTGATACCATAAATATCACATCTTTCTTTCAATCATATAATTAATTTAGCCTAATGATTTGCATTGAACTATGTCACCAACCATCATAAAATGAAATTATGAAAGTATCAAGCCATGAAATGATATAATCATGTTGGCCTTTTTGGTAC